ACAGACCCTTGTTGGTGGACACCTGAGTGCAGCACTGTAGTTCAAGCAAAGACTCGTGCATGGAAACGGTGGCGTCAGCACCCCGATGATGGAGATTTGCGAGCTTCATTCATCGACCTAGTGGCCCAAACAGCTGCTATTTTGCTGCGCGCCCAATCATCACATGATGCTCGTGTCAAAGCTAAGCTCAGCTCAGGCTCACTTAACGACAAGCAATGGTGGTCCAACATGAAGAGAGCTGCTGGGATGGAACGTGCCTCTGAGATACCTCTGCTGAAGGACACCGACGGCACAGAGTATCCATCTCGCCAAGCCAAGGCCAATTGCCTCGCCAGGTACTACTCCCAGAAGTGTAGCCTTGCAGATGATGACATCTCTCCAGACGATCTGCCAGAAATGCAGCATTTGGACCGCCATGGTCTTGACCGCATCCATTTCCGGCTTGCTGATGTACGCCGCCGTCTAGCCAAGCTGAATACATCGAAGGCAACAGGACCTGACAATATTCCAGCAAGAGTCCTAGCTCAGTGTTCCAGTGAGCTTGCAGAACCAGTCACCAAACTGTTCTCACTCTGCTTTCGCCACGGTGTTCAACCTACCAAATGGAAGCTGGCCCATGTGGTTCCAGTCTTCAAGAAAAGCCCCCGCTCGGATCCCAACAATTACCGGCCAGTCTCACTACTATCCATCCTGTCAAAAGTAATGGAGAGCATAGTAAACAAGCAGCTTGTGAATTATCTGGAGCGTTTCAATATTCTGCCCGACAGTCAATATGGCTTTCAGTGGCGTGCACCGAGTCTTGAAAGGGGGGTTTCTAGAGTTCGTAATTTTTTCTGGAGACCCACTGTATAATTATGTATTTGTGCACATGCACATCCCCCGAACATCCCGTCGGAGATAACGGCGAGGGCTAGGGAGGAGGGGGGGGGGGGGGGGGGAGGGGACTCAAGATCAGGGGTGCAGGGCACAAATGAACACTGGTGCTGATGAGATGCGGGGCTCGTCCGACTGCTATCATCAGATCATGCCGGCACAAACGCGTCTGAGAGGGGACCAGGTATAGGGGTAGAAAGGACAGAAATAAGTGTAATGAGGAATGGAGGGAGGGGACGATGTTACATGGAAATGTTGGTACATGTATAACTGGTAGCAGGATAAAACGGGTTACCTTTTACATACCAGCACTTCAAAAAGTATTTGCAAAAGAGGGTGCAAAAGTCAATGTACTTTACATGTTTGTCATATTGAACACGTAAACGTTTGATAGGCCTAGCCGCCTTGCAGGCTACACTACAATCTATAACACTATGTCTATGGTACTTCACTAGTCCACTCCACTCCAGGCATGTTTGTTTCATCAAAACACGGCTTACAGTCGACGTATCTTTCTTTCTGTTCTTATGACAAAGTTTTCAGCATGTATTGGCAATGTTCCACATGATTTCAATAAAGAGTTATGGACCTTGCTTCAATGGAAGCTCGCGGAAGAAAAGCGAAGCCCCGCGTCCTTGAGTCGCGGCCGGAACAGCACTTCGTTCTGAAGCAACGCAAGTGGATCATGGACGCACATTTTTACGTCTTCCAGTCGACAATGTTTTTGACGAACATCTTTGCTGCGCACATGAGCGAGAACAAAAGGCTGTGGAGATCTTGATGTGAGTCAACAGTTTGGAAGGAGATATCGTCAATCATATCCTTGAACTGACTTGCATCGCGCGTGCTTGACTCAAATTTCGAGACAAAACGGATTTCTTGAATGTCATCGCCAATCCAGGAGCGAACCAGAGCTAGAGATCGATCTCTTTGTGGCTACTCTCCACTGCAGAAAGAGAGAATAATGTATTTTGAACTGCATGCAAAGCAACTCTCTTTCACTTCGAAATATGGACATAGTCATTGTACTGTAAACTGCCCGTCGATCGACGCGTACGCAGGATAACCAATCAAGTAGGCACACTTTTCCTTTGGCAAGATTGCCCGATAAAAGGTGGTTTCCAGACACCAAAAAACTCATACGGTGCACGCGCCTGGCTTTCGGCAAGGAAGAGGCACGTGCGACATCCTCACTGCTTTGCACACTGAGTGGGTCAAGACTGTCAGCGATGGAGGGTACGCTCACATGGTGGCGGTGGACATAGCAGGAGCATTTGATCGGGTATCACACTCTGGACTGATTTTCAAAGCCAAGAACGTTGGCATTGGTGGCTGCCTGCTGCACTGGCTGCAGGATTACCTCCTGAACCGCAAACTATCAGTCCTGGTCCACGGCGACTCATCCTCTCCGGCGCCTATATCAGCAGGTGTGCCCCAAGGCAGTATCCTTGGCCCGACACTTTTCCTCTTGTATGTGTCTGACCTGGATCAGTGCCTGTCTCCCGAGACGCGACTAAGTTCCTTTGCAGACGACACAACCCTCTACAGCCTCATCCGCACGCAGGACAATATGCATGACATGACTGCCGCCTTGCAATCCAGCCTCAAGCGTCTTGAAGAGTGGGGAGAACGCTGGCGCATCAGATTCGAGCCCTCTAAATCGCAACAGCTGCTGATGACTACGAAAGCCACACACCCTGCTGTCCCTGACATCAAGTTTGGAGGTATCGCGGTTCCGGAAGCCAACACCATCAAGCTTCTTGGAGTGACATTTGACGCCAAGCTGTCATTCCGGGATCACTTGCACTCAATTGCGACACGTGGCTGCCAGAGACTGGGTGTTCTCCGTCGGGCTTGCCGGGTGTTAGATTACCATGGCCGGCTTTGTGCATACAAGGGATTTGTGCGACCCATCCTCGAGTATGCTCCCCTTGTGTGGATGGGAGCTGCATCCAGCCACCTCGCCCGACTCGACTGTGTACAGAAACGTGCAATGGCCATTATTGGCCCTGGTGCCCTTCTCCAAAGCCTGTGCCACCGCCGGATTGTATCTGGGCTTGTATACCTGTACAAGCTCCAGTGCATCCCAGGACCACCCCAGCTCACCGCCATGATCCCCCCTCCAGCCAACCATGTAGGGAGCTCGGCGCACCCGGAGTCAACCTCCTCCTGGCCAGCAGCACCATGTGCAGCTGCAGCAAGTCCTGGACAGGAGAGCACCTGCCTATGCTTCTCGCTCCTTCCCGTTTTCTGTAGTCTCAGTATGGAACAGCTTGCCAAGCGAAATTGTAAGGGCTCCACTCAGCTTGAAGCGGCTCCACACGTTCAAAGAAGATGTCCATAAGTACCTCACGCACCAACACTGGCTGATGGCTACCGACTTCTACGGATGAACTCCTGACTGTGGCACGGGTCATGTTCCTTGGTTCGGCTCTGCTGATGATATTGGGCTTCATTTACCTTTTATTATTTATTACTCTAGCTATATAACTGGTTGTTTTAGTGATTCTTACTATGTGACAATGTTCCACTGATGATGGTCACACGAAAAGGTTCTGGAATTGTTTCATTTTAATTGTTTATACATGGTTATGAGTGCACAATTGATATTTTTCATTGCTATTTTACGACTGTTGTCTCCTCGTCGGTTATTTTATTATTTTATTTTTTATTATTAATTTTTTTGTTTAGTTTGTTTTGTTTGTTATGATTTCTTGGTTTTCCACCCGGTTTAGTTATAATTTAAATTATTATTTGGTGCAGCTTTAGCGCTATGTGGTTTATTATTTTCCTTTTTCTTAATTTCGTATTTAGCGCTTTTGGGCGTCATTATTTTGTTTAGAAGAGTATCTCTTTGTTGTTGTTACTATAATCGAGTGGCACATTCGCACTACAATTCTACGAGTGCTAGTTTGAAAATACGTTACGAATTTGAGCAATTGTTACGTTGTACAGCAGGTACGAACAATTAATATTTACATACTCACCGGTTTCGTTTCGGAGTCCCGCGCTGTGACTCAGCTAATTTCTATTTCGTTTGCCTTGTATTGTCTGACTAGGGGCGCTGTCACCCCGTCGGGTGCAAGCACCCTTGGACAGAAGCACTTCACTGAATGACAAGTGTTCATTTTCGTTTTCCTCTTCTGCTTCTGTTGCACAGTTTGAATGTGTGCTTTTTTCGTACTCTGCTCTCGATCGAACCAAGCGCGGATCGATCTCCATAATTATTTATCTCCCGTTGCCATGACTGGCATTAGTACAGCGTTGCGTACTCACTCGCTGCTTGGCACGCTTGCAGCGCGTCTTTCTTCTGTTCTGTTGCAACCCAGTGCCTGCGTGCACGGTACGGGATTTGCGATGCATGCCACATCAGCGTTGGTGTGTCGTTGTGCTTCGTTGTTGTTTTGTTCTTTTGCTGAGTGTGGTCGTTAAAACTGAGCAAGAACGGGTCGTTGACAAGGCGTGGTTTCGATGTGCATGCCCTCCTGTCAACTCCAAACTAATTTTCTTCTCATTATTTCGCACCAAGTTATTATTTGTGGTATTCTCTAGCTTCTGTATGTTTTGCAGTTGTTCTTGTGCAACCCCCCCCCCCCCCACACACACACACATTTTTCGATGCCTAGTTGCAACGCTGACGCCGAGACCTCTGGTCGGTTGAGTTGCTCCCAGCACATCAGCACGTCGTCCCTACATCCCCTATGTTTTGTCCTTTTCCTCGTTTCTTTTTGTTCTCCACCTGTTTTCCAGTATAGTATGGCTGTGTCAATAGTAAAAAAAAAAAAAAAAAAAAAAAAAAAAAAAAAAAAAAAAACGCCGCCACCCTCAAAGATCAAGGCGCAGATGCAAGTCCTAAAGCGGTGGGAGGTGAGTAGATCAGACCCACCACCAAAGTGGTCGAAGGCTGAAAATCCCATCCTTCCGCTTCCAAGCTTTTTTCACATGGGCGCGCAAACAGAGGGGGGGGGGGGGGCTGTGCCCCCCCCCCCCCTGGCTAGAACCCCGATATGATCTCCACTGTAGTTACCTTGGTGGACAGTAGATCATAACTCGTAGCATTTGATCCTTCCATTATTTATTAAACTATTGTATTTGCTGCTTGTTTTGGTTTGACTGTTTTCTCTCAGATATCTCTGAACAGCAGAATACTAAGCCGAATTTGTGCAGGAAGTCTGTTATTTCATGTGAGATTATGAGGTCCAATTTGTGATTGAAATTTTGATGTCTTCGATCCTTTCCCGTTTCTCTGCTGAGCTGAACACTGAGGAAGTTGGTGCTGAGTGTTGTTTCATCTCACTCTGTTGGCTGAGTACTTGAGTAGCTGAGTAACTGAGTATTTGAGTAACTGAGTACTTGAGTACCTGAGTAACTGAGTAATTGAGTAACTGAGTAACTGAGTATGGATGTGAGAGTGTAGTGCTTCTATTACTAGTGCAGTATGCATGTTGATACGGTGTTTTCCAAATCAAGGTATTGTTGAGTTTGTGTTTGTGTGTTTGTGTTCCTGTGTATTCTATTACCATTTCTTTTCTTTGGCATCAGCGTCTTCCAGTTTTGATTTCCGTTTACTAACACTCAGCATATGCGAAATTATCAATCATTTGATTGACTGTGACGCGAAAATGCAAATAATAATAGTATTTTAAATGTATTTTCTTTGGTGCATGTACATACAGTGCGTATCGGTTATAGTGTGGTCGTATACAAGAATATACTGCTTACAAGAATGAACACTCATTTTTTCATAATCATAACACATATTTTATGTGTATATTTATTCTTGCAAGCAGTATTATCGCGTAGTAGAATATATCAGCCCTAAGAATGGATTTTGTGTAGCAAAATATGCCAGATTAGTGCAAAGTGTATCGCCTGTAGTAATAAAATCTGTGCTCTGTGCATACTCAATACAATAATATTCAACACAAAAAGAGAGTTATGTCCAAGGGAGCATTGGAGAATCACTTTTTCTGTCCAGTCGGACTCTTTCTTCCGACTTCTCTCGTATCCGCTGCTCCGCAGTCGCCTAGCACGACCGCGAGTCTGATTGATCCGTGTGTACGTGTATCATGTGTACGTGTCTACATGCCAAACGTGCGCGCATACATGTACATGTACATGTATGATGTCGCACGTGCATATGATATGTCACAAGTGATTTATCGTGTGTAAGAAATATCGGCAATAAGAATCAAATGTCGTTTTTCAAACACCCACGCTATAACCGATACCTACTGTACATTGATATTGTCAATCCTCGTAGCACATGATGTAGAGTCTGGCGACACCAGGGTCCTCATTCTTGAAGCTATTCAGAACTCATTTTAGAAGGTAGTGCTGTGATCTGTGCCTGCATGTATGTGTGTATGTGTGTGTGTGTTTGTGTGTGTGTGTGTGTGTACGCGCATGTGTGTGTGTGTACGCGCATGTGTGTGTGTACGCGCATGTGTGTGTGTGTATGTGTCTGCATGTGTGTGTGTGTATGTGTCTGCATGTGTGTGTGTGTGTGTGTGTGTGTGCGTGTGTGTGTGTGTGTGTGGATGTGTGTGTGTGTGTGTGTGTGTGTGTGTGCGCGTGCGTGAGTGGGTGTGTGTGCATGTGTGTATGTGTGTGTGCGTGCGTGAGTGCGTGTGTGTGCTTGTCACAGTTTTCCGTCAGGCCGGCACGTTATGTGTCGGTAACAGGAAGACAAAGGCTTAAAGAGCTGGCATTGCGACAGGCGTGGCCGTTTACCCTTGTAACGTGACTGAGAACCAGCATATGCACGGCTAGCTCAGCAAATTTATGATTTAAAAATGTTCATTTTGATGAAATACACAATGTAGCCGGTTAAAAAAAAGAAACATGCAAGGCTGCTAGGCTAGATAATCATTCATGGTGTGCAAAATGACATAATGAATAATCGAACATACAAGTCATACTGTCTGTATGCATGGCATATGCTGTAAATCGGTAACCACAGATTTTCTTCCGGATGGCGAGGGATCCGGATAAAAGAGGACTGGATAAGCGAGGTCTGACTGTATACTATGAGTATGAACTGTATGATTATGTGACGCTCAGTAAAAGAGACTAAAATGTGTGAGTGATGACGCATCAAAAAGTCTTTTTGCAAAATAATTATTTTGGCCATCAATTTTGCTCTAAAAAAAATAACGACAAAAAAAACAAGAAGCAACGCATGGTACAGCTAGCTGTAGCACCTCGACTTCGCCTCCATATCATTGTAAATCTACCAGCTAGCGTGTTGTTATGCTAAGGACTTACAATAGACCAATCCCGAAAAGATTGTCTGGGTTCGTGAAAGGGGGCACGCGTGCAAGCCAGCACGTGTGAAGTGCATCGTTTTGTATTCAGTTTGTGTGTGTCAGCTCATGGCGGAGGAGAGAGAGACTTTTGCTCGCCGAGCTGAAGCTAAAGGATTTGATGGAGTCCTGCCAGCAGCTAGTCAAAGGACCTTCGGTACCTTAGGCAGACCCTGACGGAGTTTGGAGGCCAGATAGCTCTCGGTGAGGAGAGAAACATTCGCGTGGCGATCGACTCTCCGTAAAAAATGCAAGCTACATAGCGCCGACATACTGCAACAGCTACGATTTCAGCTAACTTCTCGATCTGCTGCTTCACAAAAACTATTTTACAAGTCCTGACTGTTGTAGTCTGAAGCTGGAGTCTCATCGCCCACCTACAGGTAGCTTTTGGAGCTGATGGATTTCCCGACTTGGACTCCTTCCGCAAACTCTCGCAACATTACTACAGTGTATGCTGTGTTTCCGCACGCTCGTGTCGACATGTCACCTATACTGTACATGTACCGGATCGCGGAGGAGCTTGACGACCTCCGCTGACTCCAGGTTTCCGAAATACTGCCGTCGTCTTCGGTGATGTCGCTGGTGACATTCTCCCCTTGCAGGACGTGCACATAGTTGTCGTCCCAGGGGTAAAGACTATGGTGTCTTTCGAAATAGTTCTTCATCACGCTCGCGCGAATGATGTTTCTCATCATGAACTAGTTCCGACGGTGTGACACGGCGATGGCCTTTGGCGGGGCACTGGCTTGGCGAAAACGATATCTCAGTCTTGTGCAATATAACTTTGATCGGCTGCAGATGAGTACAGTCACTTCGTGGTTGGTCCTATAGGAGGGCAGCTGCCAGGAAAGAGGCAGGACTCATCGAAGACGAAGCGCTCGCAACAAACAATAGCACTCGAAATATCTCGTAAGATTTAGGGCCTATCGCTTTGAGCCACAGCGCTCACAGCCTTGCCTGCTTCATCAAAGTGAGCTCTACATGTTCGTTGACCTCTTCACACTACACAGAAGAGCGAAACAAGGATTATGTCTTAGCATTTCAACTCCAACAGCAGATCATTACCAGTGCGAGAGAGAAGACTACGAAGCGCTTTGCTTTCTGTCGCATCGTCTCTCTTGCATGCAACTAACGAGAAAACCGTGTACTTACCCTCGCATTCACACGCGAACTATCAAACACGTCCTGTGCGGCATGCTGATCAGGTAGTGCCATGTATGTGTTGTACAGTGTACTCTCAGTTGACATGCCCCCTTTCGAACCCAGACAATCTTTTCGGGATTGGTCTATTCAGTGAATTGTAGTCGTGCTCCCTCGTTTATATTATCATCAGTTGACTGTTGTACAATATTCCCTGATCCTTGCGTCGATCGCTGACTGTGAGAAATTGCACTATTGGCTATAGGCGTGCATAACAGTTTGTTACAATCGCAACAGTCTTGCTGTGGTACAGTAGTCTGCGAAATTAAGTCACCGCTGAACCTTTCTATTCAGTTGCAGCTGTATCATCACCCTATCATAACTTACTTAGGTAAGAGAATGATGTTCATGTATGTGCAAAAAAGATGATGTATGTTGAAGAAGCAATTGTTGGCTGCTGGGCTGATCGCGTTCGAGCGATTGTTTTCCGGATTTCAATGAGGCAATGCCATGCTGTGTTGTGTATCAGACATGCATAAGCTGGGCACACTGTCCGACTATTCAGTCGACGAGAAAAATGCGAGAGGTTTGACAAGTCCTAAAACTAGGACAGAACGGGTACATGTACATGACTGTACAGTGTTGCTCAATGAAATCCAGTCAGCGAGTTTCTCAAGTACGCGCTGGGCGTTGCACAGCCCTGTAGACCTGCGCATGCGAACACTGGGCTGCGAAATGATGCAAGGCACAAACTTGAGTGACGCGACTGGATTTCATTGAGCAGCACTGTAAGTGACTCATCTATCCATCCTTTGTTAGGCCAGATTGTCAGGGAATTCCAAAGTGTTTGGCATGTTTGTTTCAAAGTCCAACTCACTTTTCCACGCGGCGACACTGTATAAGAAAGAAAAGTTCATATTGAGTGCATGTACCGATAGAAGTGTACAGTCATGTACTACTAGACCACACACATACACAACCGTCAGGCGAAATTACTGGTCAGTCGGCGACACGCATTTTTCACAAAAATTTGCGTTTCACCTGCTGGGAGAGTATGCATTGTACTCGAGTCTCATCCTGAGCACGTTTTTTTCTTCTTTTTTTCAGCTCCAGTATAGCTGTATTTTTCATTGCAAAGCCGTCCTCGATTGTTGTGTTCGTTGTTCAAACGAAGTGGACATTCAGTCATGAAGGCAGAGGACATAGGAGCCTGATTGGAGTTTCTCGTGGCATAGGACGGCCACACAGAGACACTTTGGGATTTTCTGAATATAAAATACCGTACGCACGATGCTGAGATCAATTTGTGTGATATCAAATTGTTTGTGATCTACCACATCGAGCAGAACGGGATCCAAGCACAAGCTTACCGACGGTTAGGCTGCCGACCTGACTGGACAAATGATCCCTGGCTTCACCAGACGCCAGAAGTCCGACACCATGTCCTTTGCCGCGACATCCATCTCCAAAAAGAACTCCATCTTCGTCGTGAAAAGGCTTGAAATACTCAATATTCAACCGAGATTCGTGGACTCGCGCTTTCTTGGATCGAATAATTTCCTGTTGGAACAGTTGCAGGGCAGCTTCCTGCCACTGTTTCAACAGGCGATGGGTCCAAAGCATGCCTGGAACAAGCCATATCGAGGTTGCAAGCCACCCCTCTCAGCAAAAAATTCGAAGAAATTCGAAATTTCAATGGTGGAAGATATACTATGAAGAGAATTTCAAAAAGTATGTTTCACGGAGCGATCGCTCAACCTACGTCATTCAAACTTTGCAGGATGGTTCAGACGTACATGCTAGGCATGGAACCACAGGCGATGATGCCATAGCTGACACACAGAGTAACACACACAGCAGATTCGTGTGCACAGATACTAAATTAGTGGACGTCGTCATCTTCTTCCCGCTGATCTCGAATGTACTATGACGTGCTATTTCGCCTGACGTGATCTGACGGGCAGTACAGTGAACTTCGCGCACAACGACTGTGAATTCTGTAGAACGGGTAATTTTAGCGACGTGAAAACCCTAGCGAATTTGGCGTCAGAGAGGAGTGAACTGCAGATATTGTGGATGCAACGGAACACGAAGAATATGGACTTAGTATTGTTGTGGTGGTGTGGGTATACCTGACATACCATGTATCGATAGAACAGATCTTTTGTATTTTGCTTATAGCACCGAATAACGTGGTTTCCAAATCATGTCCGTGTCTTCATGGTAGAGGCAGTAAGTGTTGATCAGTGAAATCTGGTCAATGTAAGTCAGCTAGTACTGGACGGTACGTAGACCTTGCATCATAATTGTGTTGTGCACTGCTGTATGGAAATGTATTATTCATGATCCTGAATTTTATCCAGCACGACTGTAGATATTGCATGTGTGTGTGTGTTTTTTTTGCGTTGTGTGTTGCTCTCTACAGACCGGCAATACGTAATCTTCTGACAATTCCTCAGTAATCCACTCCATACGCTGTACGCTATACACACACACACACACACGTGCTAGTGAACATACAGCATCCCCAGGAGAACATGTTTGCTTCAAAGTTATATGGCAATCTCAGCAAGACATTGAGCAAGTTTGCTCAGCGTGGTTATGCTGTGAGTGTACAAGTACAAAGCATGGTAGCCCAGTCAACCTGCCGATCAACGCTATGTTGTGTTGCTAGCAAGATGACTCAGACATCAGCACAGTCCAAGCAGTCAGTTAGGTGGAGATCAGATCAGCAGGGTCGTCAACCCACTACGGTACATGATGCCTATGATGCCGTTAAGTCAATATTTGACAGCATCGTGACTACGCGCACGTTTCAACCCAGCGAGCTGATCTCTCAATGTTCTCTTATCCAACGACATGCGAATGAACTACGGTACCCAAGCATGATTAAGGTCATCCTGCGAGCATGTGCTCTTATCACAGAGGAGAACACTGACGTAACCACATTGGCAGTATCTTCACTAAATCAACTAGCCACCCTACCTACTGTTGTCTGGCAAGACTACAGGAATCAACCCAACCTGAGATGGTCACTGCATTGGGCTGCAAAGTGTCGATGCATGACTCCAGAATTCAGGAAGTTACTAGCACAGCAACTAGATGTCCTGCGTCTTGATCAATGTAGAGATGTTGATCAGTGTTCTCATGCACTGTTCATGTTAAATTCACCCGACCGTTGCCTGGCGCTAAACTTGATGAATCGCTATTTGACCATACACAGTACAGGTGATCCCAAGCATCGTCATACTCAAGTACTCAGACTACTTCTCTACTGTACACTGTGTGGTGTAGAGTGCAGTGCCTTGCTGAAGCTGATCAGGGTTGATCATCTGATACAAAGTAAGTAGTTTATTCTGGAATAAGACTTGTAGTGAATAGAGGCCTAGGTTTGCTGGTGAGGCTTCTGTCACAGTGTGTTCTGCTGATGCAGGCATGATTTCATATAGTACTCAGTAAATCTAACGTTTTAACCAGTTACATTACTTCGTTTTAGTCAGTTCTGTTGAGACAAAGGCAGCATAATTATGTGCTATGCGGGGATATGCCTGAAGACCGCAAGATTGTTAAGGCATCTTCTCGTTAACCTATGGATTTTGGACAATCGTTAAATTTGCGAATCGTTATAAAACCATGTCTTACAGTAATGGTTTTTTCATGGAACTTGAGTTACGTGCCAATCACCGTCGTCTGCTATCTTGCATTTTTTTTCTTTTCTTCTCTACCCGCTCTGTCTGTCTCTTGGCACATACGAATATCGTATACGCGGACGTGCATATAATAATAATTATTGCCCAATGCTGTAGACGGCAAGCTATTTCGGCCACATTATCATATGCCTCATCATTACAGCTGCGAGCTCTATGTAAGCCGAGCTACCGGCCATGGTGCAAAGGTCACATCGCAGACATTTTAATGAAAGATAGCTCGTCGCTCTTGCGCCAGAGTGCTCTAAATACTAAAAGTAGCGGGCAATGTGTAATGCAGCAGCACTAGAGCAGCCTACCGAGAGTGCTCAACAAGACAAACATCAAGGAGCATAATACCCAATGCTGTAGACAACAGGCTGGTTCGACCATATAGACCAGATTCAAGTAGGCCAAGCTCCCGCCTATGGCAAAGGAAGCACCACAGACATCAATTTAGGCCAAGCCAATGATCATCTTCAGACGTCATCTTTCTCTTGACGTTTTCTTTTTCGCATCCTCAAATGTATTTGTTTGTTCGTGTCACGAACACTGTGTGTTTCTCTCAAATCTCTCTGCTCTGGTTTTTGTGCAGAATGCGAGCCTCGCCATCTGCAACTGCTATATTTGCACAACACCCTCCCTGTCACTAGCGACCAGCGGCTGCAGATAATGGACAAGTGGTTAGTGCGGTTCCAGAAGGATGTGGCAAGTCAGCATTCAGGTCGAATGTATGATATGCTGTCATACTTCATTGGCCCAAAGTACACCACTGGCATATCTCTGGTCGGTGGTGTGGACGTTCAGGCATTCTGCATATTCAACCAAGACCATGAACCAGTGGAGACTGATGCTTATCCAGCTGATGTATACAATGGTGTATCAGTAGATATGACTGCAGCTACACGTCATGGTTTCAGTGTTGTGGCCTGTCGGGGTGTGAGTGACACTCAGTTACTACGTCATCCTGTACGTACACCTAACGGATATGATACTCTGCCGCATTGGCACTGAAATCTCAAGGATGTTATATTATTCCGGTGAGTTCCAGTGCTAGTGTTTTGATATTGATGATCAGATGCCTGTCTTGATTCTACAGTGCATGTTGGAGAAAAACAGATTGCACATAATACTGAGAGCTTTGAGTGTTTTGACTGTATTCTGTTGCCCAAGTCTCGTTGTAAGACCTATAGTCTCACCCTTCTGAAAATCGCATTCAGTGACGGGTTGACTATAGAGATCTCCCTCTCCTGAGTGAGCTTACATTTTGGCGTACTCCACTATTTCTTTCTACGCTGATAGGCGGTACTCAATTATGGCGCTCGGCACTCTCAGAACAGCAGCCACGTTATCCCGGATTTGCTGATCAATTACCCGCATCACATCGCCGTGTTCAATGACCTGTTACCCGCCAAGCAGTGATGATTATACACACTGATGTCATAGTCTACATGATGGTAAGCCTTTACAGAATGGTAGATAATGCATTTTGTGTAGTTTTATCATTTCCACTTCAATGGCTGCAATGGCAATAGCTGATTGCAGAAATATAATGCAAATATAGTGTAGTGGATTCGGCTCCTTTGATGAGGCTGAAGTATGCAACCTGCACAGTCTGCGCGCAGTCCGCTAGCAGGGGCAAACCCCGAGTGCAGCGCAACGCCAACAGGGAACTGATAAAGATCACAAGGACAACACTATACCTGAATACACAGTCTAACTATCAGCCGGTGATAATACGAAATCTCCTCAAGTCTATTGTCGTCGTGGCGTTCTTACAATCTTATCTAATCTCCGGACGATAGGCCCTTCCGATTACTCTCACATGTACATTTCCATGAATCATCGAAACGCGTGCAAACGACGAATTCCGCTGTCCAAAACCCATCTACAGAGTTGTAACAAGTTAGTTACACTCTGTTTGATGTACTCTTGCTATCGTAACAGTATGGAACAGAGACACTTCAAAGACAGAAGTACAATCATGTACAAACAATAGGAGGACAGAGAAAGTGTTTTTACTCCGAGTTTCACGCACTAAGCGATCATCAGAAAACAGTAAATGAGAAATCTTGATCAATGTACATGTGGCTAGCCATGTCAAGAAAGAAAATTGACATCCACCATAGAGAGTGGAGTGAGCAGTGTAATACTTTGTACTGGGATATGTAATCATGGACAAATAAAGGAAAGAACAAATGTTACAATTTATAACACGAGTTATGACCAACAGTCCACCAAAGTAAATAGACCATATGCAGTTAGCAAGTGAGAAAGTAAGGCACAAAACTGACAAGGAGTACTGAGAAATTCAACGACCTGACACCTAGCTCCAATACATCTACGATCCTCTTTGGACCTTTCCTAACCTGAGCCTTCCAAGTTGGAAGGTTGCTAGTTTGCACCTCGTAGATGTGTTGGAGCTAGGTGTCAGATCGTTGAATGGCTCAGTAGTCCTTGTCAGTTTTATGTCTTATTGACGCATTTTCTTGCTGTATATGCAGGGTTCTAGCCAGGTCAAAATAGTAGAGAGGGGGGGGGAGAAGGGGGGGCATGGGAAACAGTTACCCCGTATCGCATTTTTCCACTTTCCAATACTGTCTTGCCACACTAAATGCAACGTATGGGGCGAATCCCCGACTTCGCCCCAGACAAATGTGCCTCTGATGGTGACTTTCGACTGCATTTTCGTTGAATTGCATGAAAATAGAAGAAAGATTCGCAGTTAGCATGAGACTCGGCTGGAGACCTAATTTTCCGCATCCGCTTGTACGCCACCACCCTCAAGTATCAAGGCGCAGATGCAGGTCCTAAAGCGGTGGGCGGTGAGTAGATCAGACCCACCACCAAAGTGGTCAAAGGCCGAAAATCCCATCCTTTCGCTTCCAAACGTTTTTCACAGGGGCGCGCAAACAGAGTGGGAGGGGGGGGGGGGGGCTGCGTCCAGCTACCCCCCTCTAGCTTGAACCTTGATAATGATGTACACTGTGATTACCTTGGTGGACAGTAGATCATAACTCGTAGCATTTGATCCTTCCATTAATTAAACAATAATTGTATTTGCTGTTTGTTTGATTTGACTGTTTTCTCTCAGATATCTCCGAACAGTAGAATACTAAACCGAATTGTGCAGGAAGTGTGTTATTTCATGTGAGACTGGTATATGAGGTCCATTTTGTGATTGACATTTTGATTTCTTCGATCCCTTCCCGTTTCTCTGCTTAGCTGAACACTGAGGGAGTTGGTGCTGAGCGTTGTCTCATCTCACTCTGTTGGTTGAGTACCTGAGTATGGATGTGAGAGGGTAGTGCTGCTATTACTAGTGCAGTATGCATGTTGATACGGTGTTTTTTCTTATCAAGGTATTGTTGAGTTTGTGCGTGTGTGTTTGTGTTCCTGTGTGCTCAGTATTCTATTACCATTTATTTTCTTTAGCATCAGCGTCTTCCGGTTTTATTTCCGTTTACTACCACTCAGCTTATGCGAAATCATTTGATTGACGATGACGCGAAAATACGAATAATAATACTTCGAAGTAATAGCACATTATTTTCTCTGTGCATATTCGCACGTTGATATTGTCAATCCTCCACATTACATGTGTGTTGCAGCTTCTATTATTCACAGTACACGTGGTACATGTAGAGTGTGGCTAAACCAGGGTCCACATTCTTGAAGCTATTCAGAACACATTTTAGAGGGTAGTGCTGTGATCTGTGTCTGCGTGTGTGTGTGTGTGTGTGTGTGTGTGTGTGTGTGTGTGTGTGTGTATTTGTGTGTGTGTGTTTCGTGTTTTCCGTCAGGCCGGCACGTCATGTGTCTGTAACAGGAGGACAAAGGCTAAAAGAGCTGGCAATCTGAGTAGCCAGGCGTGGGTCTGGCATTCAGTGCTGCACCAGGTGTGGCCGTTCACCTGTGTAACGTGACTGAGCGCCAGCACATACCCAGCTAGCTCAGCAAATTGGTGATGAATTTTGATGTTGATGAAATGCACAATGAAACAAATGTAACAGTTAGCTGGTTAATGTGCAATACTATATTTATGTGCAATACAATCTACTTGTGATACGTACTAGTAAGCTTATTGAAAAGTCACGGTATCTATCCTGCATGGGGCAACGTTTATCGCGAGTGCATGCATGACATATCGCGAGCCTGCAACTAAATACAATGGATACGCTGTGCTGTACAGAATTGGAAGCGTTCTGTGCACAGCTTAGTACAAGTGCGTGAGTTTAGTGTGTCACATGTCCTGAAATCCACAGGTGTATGCAATGGCACCATCACGCTACACAGCCAGTGCGCAATTTAGCTTTTTAGTGTGAAAGCTACAGCTTGATCACTTTATCATGAGGTTTATCTCTTGCAAGCCCCATTTCCTTGCCTACAATTCAGTATGGTCTCTTTGCTTTCACCGTGGTTACTCCAATATTGTCACTGTACGCCCACTGGTACAGTGTTAGAGTGTGGTACAGGTCATAGCACCGGTTTTATAGGGTACCCCGTAAGAAGACCTTGAGTCTGTGGGGACGGCCCTATTAAAATATGAATAAATAATAATAATAATTTCTCTGTCCACAGCAGTACAGTCTTACGTTGCTTCTTGTTACAGCAGTCACCACTGATCTTCACAACTCTGGACATCAGGTACACAACTAACTGTTAGAGTTCAATGTCCGTTCATCGTCGCAAGATGACATAAACAAGACAGATAGGATACCGGGTTTGACGGCCCGGTCCCGGAGCAATCACTGAACCAGGTAGATCTACCTACCGTATTATCTCTAATATAAGCACAGTCTCCAATAATAGCACGTCTCCAATAATAGAACACCTTGGGGCGGCATTCAAAAAATAAAGTGCTCAGTCTCCATTATAAGCACACTGTGTAAATTCATTATCTCTACTGGCGAAAAAACCGTGAAATGTGTGTGTCTGACATGAATTTGGCATGGCAGCATGTCTCTGAAATGAGGTTGAAATAATAAATTAATAATGGAACAGTCTCTAATAAAGGAACGTCTCCATTAATAGCACGGGGCGGAGGTACATTGAAAAAATAAAGGACCGTGCTTATATTAGAGATAATACGTTAAAGCTATGGACCGAAGCGGAGAGTAACCACATGACCCTGCTTGGTCAGTCACCACTGGTCACGGTCATCTTGTAGATCTACTTGTATTTGTAAGTAAGTAACAGTTAGTTGTAGTCTTGACTCACAGCCACACTCACACTAGTCTAGAGTCACAGTCTGCAAAGACCCAAGCCTTGGCCAAGTCCGTAGGGCAAGGTCCGGTGGTAGGTCTACTTACTAACTACTTACCGGTAGTTAGTAGATCTACTGGTAGACTAGTTTAGGTGCAGGGTTCACATGGCCCTGGGTGAGGTGGAGACTTCAGCCTAGTTCAGCCTTCAGGTGCAGAGTTCACCATCCTCTACATCATGTATGCTATAATATGCAGGCATTGCATGATGACAGCACTGACTCAGTCCGTCTTCTGTTGACCATGGTTGACTGTTGTTGTCGTGTTGAGCGTTGTAAATGTTTTTAAAGGGGAAGTTAAGGCAAAAATTAAAATTTCACCAGTTGTAGTCTTCGGGGTGCTGAGTGGAATGGTCGTGGTCCGAGGAAGCTGAGACGCTCCCTTCCTACTTGAATCCCAATCGAACTCGCGCACTTCCACCGAAACTGGGTGACTGCGCCCTACTAGATGGGGATTTGTATGCAAAATGTCACTAAAAGCGCCATTTCGTTCTTATAAAAGCACGGATGACCGCGATTGGCCCATATGTTGTACTCTTTTGGACGCTGAGTCGACTGGTTTTGGTCCGAAAAGGCTGCGATGCAGCGTTCCTCCTTTATTCCCAATCGAACATGGTTGAACAAGCGGTCACGTGCTCCTGGGTGCCCAAATCACCTGGTCACCACGCCAGCAGGCGACAACTTTCACACCAAGGTTCAACTCGAGTTCAACTCGAGTGACAGGACTGCACCCAAAAAAGGTCAAACAGGCTAGTAAGTTGTACCCTGCTTCGCCCGCCGCCGTGCAGCCCAATACGTGGCTCAAAAACCTGATTTTTTGGACTTGGAGCAAAATTCTGCACACTTTCACGTGTTTCCATGATACGACAAGTTGCGCACGGTCTGCTCACATTCAAATACAGTGCTGCCAACAAATGACAGCGTGCAACAAAAAAATCTTTCCTTGCAAGGGCACATTTTCGGCCATAAGTTAGTTCCGCATAACTCTTGAACGGCCGGTCAGATCGGGACACAATTTTCAGAGAATTTGCAGCTAATAGCGAGGTTTTGCATTCCGAAATTCGGCAAAAAGATTCGGCACGCGGGAGCGAGGTCGAAAATGCACGCGAAGATTCGGCATGTTTGTTCGGAAAAAGCTCACTTTGCCGAAAATATTTTTCGGATGAATTTTCTGTAGAAGAGCGCTAGCGCGTGATTTATTCAAAGAGATTTCTTATCTCGGCATCGCTTCCCAGGCGTCTTTGGCGACATCAGCGTCGTCAGCTACCTCTGATTGCTCCTCCACTGCTTGTCTACTCTCTTTCGCCTGGAGTGTCCTCACCGTCATCTGTGTGGCTGAAAAGACTATGGCGATACTCATAAAATTTGACTTGGCCATGGAGTTGGTTTTTCTGAGGCGACTGAGGAGACAGGTCTGGCCCTCGGCTCTTAGGGCGATCAAAGTTCGTTGGAATCAGCAAGAATAGGAGCACGGGACAGGACGTTGCTGATGCTAGGGCTCACGAAATGAAAACACATCATTTTCGACTTGCAAAACAAACGTTGGTGCGAAAATTCGACATTTTGATGTTCGAGAGGTTTTGCATTCCGAATTTCGGTTCGGCGCTTTTCGGTCATTTGTCGAACATCAAAATGTCGAATTTTCGTACCAACGTTTGTTTTGCAAGTCGAAAATGATGTGTTTTCATTTCGTGACCCCTAGCATCAGCAACGTCCTGTCCCGTGCTCCTATTCTTGCTGATTCCAACGAAATTTGATCGCCCTAAGAGCCGAGGGCCTAACCTGTCTCCTCAGTCGCCTCAGAAAAACCAACTCCATGGCCAAGTCAAATTTTATGAGTATCGCCATAGTCTTTTCAGCCACACAGATGACGGTGAGGACACTCCAGGCGAAAGAGAGTAGACAAGCAGTGGAGGAGCAATCAGAGGTAGTTGACGACGCTGATGTCGCCAAAGACGCGCCTGGGAAGCGATGCCGAGATAAGAAACCTCTTTGAATAAATCACGCGCTAGCGCTCTTCTACAGAAAATTCATCCGAAAAATATTTTCGGCAAAGTGAGCTTTTTCCGAACAAACATGCCGAATCTTCGCGTGCATTTTCGACCTCGCTCCCGCGTGACGAAGCTTTTTGCCGAATTTCGGAATGCAAAACCTCGCTATAATGACCGAAGAGCGCCGAACCGAAATTCGGAATGCAAAACCTCACTAGTCATGCTCTGTCAACTGACGTACCACTCAATATGAATTTACAAATTCGATTTTTCAGCGAATTTTTGGGTAGTCTGCCACCTTTTAAAACTCACTGCGTATCCATGGTGTTGGCCGGAACTGTGTCCATGGTGTCTCGCGTGACTCTAGGCTAGCTCTACACAGAATCCTGGTGAGTGGTGTCTAGCTACCTGTAGTCCATCGGCCAAATCTCAGAAAGGGCCTCTTTCGGCGAAGGTGATGCACTGAAGCTCCAACTAAACGCCCTTTGGCACACTAGCTCATGAGACCCCATAGAATACGAATCCGATTGTTGGACGTTGCCAATCCAGTCCAGGATAGTCGAACTGGGTCGAATACCTTCTTCCGATTTTCGTAATTTCGTCCACCATTACATCTTTCTCATCGACTTTTTTCGCTTGGCGAATGTTCTTGAGCCGCTGAGCAGAATCTACGCACGCTCGAACACTTGAAATGCCTGCATGTTGACGGTTCGCAAGATTCTAGCGAGCTTGGTGGATATCTATTATTTATTTTGACATTTTTGGGGGAATCTGAATTAGAACGGTAGAAGCTCATTCGGAGAAGACGGCGTGTTGCCGCTGTCGGATTGTCGCTACTGTGTTTCAGACGTATTTGCTTGAACGTGCTATTGAGGATGGACAGAAGATGAGGTGACGGCTTTCTTGAACACGGACGTTTTGTCTACATTGTAGCTGAAACATCTCATCTGGCGTCTAGAACGCAATTATTATGAGTTGTGAGTGCCAGCTGAGCTGAACACAAGCTGGACACCATTCGTCAGCCGGGAATTTGCATCGAAGCTCTTGATAGCCACGATAAGCATAATTATACAGAGGTAACCTTGTTTGACTCAATACGCATGCAGGTGATACCACTAGTGGCACTACAATGTAAATGGTGCAAAATTGATGCAACAGCGAATATGTACTTCGTACAATCACGAACAATTGTAAGGCAAGTGTTCATGCATGTCATAGAAGAATTTCAGCCCGGAAGTCTTGTTGTCATGGTCATAAATAATACAGGACTTGAGTTGGCTCTGGACATAAACACACTTGTGGTGAATACGGTCATTATTGCGAGAAAAATATTTAGCCATTGTATGTTAACACCTGATACCGCACTACAAGCAATATTTCATGTACACGTATGTGAGACTCAATTGCACAAGGCCGTAGATGCATGTAAGCACACAATGCTGTACAGGATAAGTAGTAGTCGACATGTGGTGCCTTCCTGCTGCACATGCACATGCGGCAAGTTGGCAACGACACATGACCTATCTGCACCGCACAGCGTGAGCTTAGAAAGGAATATTGCACACATAGTGCTATTTGTGTTCCGATATCGTTAAGCCGGTATACATGTACTAGTATCCTTATACATGTACCTGGTCACTCCATAGGCGATGCCGACTGTACAAATCTTATCCATATTACCCGATAGGCTATAGCACACTGCGTCAGATCACTATGCAACAAAACAAGAGCTTTGGAGCGAATATACACTGAAGCAAAGTAGGTTTCAACGGTACAGCACTAGTCACGATGAGGGGAGTTACGAGGATGGTTAGGCCTTGACACATAGATGATGATTGTTAATGATTCATGCACGGTGGAAAATTACCATCAATGGCGATGATATTGCTTTCACAACAATGACATCAGTAGGAGCAGTGACACAACCTTACTACTCCAAGTAGGATTTACAAGCGAGTGAAGGGAGAGCAGACTGGTCTAATAGCAGACCGGGTCTAAGCAAGGAAGTAATCGGCATCAGAGGTGAGCTTGCACATCAGAAAACAGATGATGATCACCAAACACAGAGAAGTTGGCTATGTGTATGTTTGTGTCACTGTGTGTGCATGTGTGTGTGTGTGCATGTGTGTTTGTGTGTATGCACGCACATCTGTGTGTGAGAGAAAGGCAGACAGACAGATAGTATATGGTGGGAGGGATCAAGGTCTGACCTCAGAGTTAAATGCTGACGGTGTGGAATAGCAACAGTGCGAAATCGGGCAGGGTGGTTAATGGCCCACACTGGAGCCGAGTAGGAGCGCCAGTGGTTGAGGGCTAGCACAGGAGTAGCAGCAGCTCCAGCCTAGGAAGATCAGCTTCTGGATGAAAATCTCCCGGACATAGTAGGTACCAAGCTTCACAAGCAGATTGCCGGCAGGGGTGCACGGCGAGCACCCGTACATCCCTCAAGCCACCAGAGCCGCAGTACTTGGACACGATCCAGGTGCTTACCCGCCAACAATGCTGAGAAGGCACTGGAGCCATACAGGAACTTATGATCGAGCATGACCACAGACTTGAAATACAGGGTCCGGCGTTGAATACTGAGACAGCGACGTCTCCTCCACAGAACACCATTCAGCCCCACCATTGCATTATTTTCGCTTTTTCATGATTTTTACAATTGTGTTAGAGCACACAGCACTCGATGCACCATTTACCAGTGACTAAATAATTCCACGTCTCCGACCATAACTGCAGCGTTCCCGTGAGCCTGTTGGATTTCCGTCAGCCTGTTGAGATTATCTTCATCTCGTCACATGTGAGCCTGTGTGTTTCATCCGTATCGTGGCACAATTACACAGACACGATTTCCAACTCAGGCCGGTTCCGTTGCTCGAAGGGTTGGCGGTAAGAATTGCTACGCCGTCTGTGGCTGCATGGGAACTTGGCGAGTCGTCATCTTTCTCCATAAATCCTGATCGTCACGCGAACAACAGCCACTATTGCCTAAAAACTACGACACAACAGTATCAAGCTCGCCCCAGCAGAAGGACACGAATGACGAGCGCTAAGACGGAGAAAGAGAGACAGGGTTAGCGAGAGCTGACTAGTGCAGGTACGCTGTCATCTCCTGAGGTGGTGGGCGAAGCAGCGAAGTGAAACGAAGGAAGATAGAACTTATTAGAAGGCATACGGAGGCACCAAAACCTATTGCCTGTCACATACTAAGTGCCATTTAGAGTTGACAGCTGTCAGCTGACAGCCTCAAAAATTTGAAAATCTGCTCAAAAAACTCTCGATCAGAACTCTGCGCACTCTCAAATGGAGCGCACAGTAAAAAACTCGGCGACGAAGAACGCTTCGTATGGACGCCCTGGACTGAATTCGGCACGTCCAACAAACGGAATAGTGTTCTCTGATATATTCTCTACGTGCTGGGTATGGTCGCGTTTAGTTGGAAGCTCAGTGCATCACCACTTTCGATTTTGAGACTTGGCCGATGGACTACTGGAGACCGAGGCTGGAGTGCATGGTGCTCATGCCTTCATGAAGGCATGAGCACTATGACTGTATGAGTATGATGTCAGTGACAACATCACAGAAGAGGAAGCTAGAACGTGTAGAAGAGGTACATCTGCATGCAATGATGCATGCCCCAGCATGACCATGATGACCATGACAAACCGCCCAATTTTTTTGGAGGTTCATTGAGTTCCCAATGAAACTGTTCTCGTCAAACTAACTAACTTATTACTTGCCTGGTGAGCGCGGACATTCTGAGAAAAGAGACGAGTGGAATCAAGAATGTAGAAGCATAGACCACTGGTGCGAGTACTAAATCGCCACGATGTCGGGCGATAGCAGGAAAGACCTACTCCTGAAAACGGCCGCCGACTATTTCGGTGTGGAGCCCAATGACCCGAACATGCTGATGCTGCTGACGACCGAGGAGCTGAACAATTTCTTGGATGACGGCAACTGTACGGTGCTGGTTTTGAGCTACTTTGCGCAGCACGTTCCTAGCGGTGTGGCGAAGGACGATGTTCAGAGCACGTGGAGTGTCAAGCTGAGCAACAGGTCGAAATACGACGACTCCTCCGCCGATAAGGTCAGTCCTCTCTCAGTTTGCTACGATTCCCGGTCTGTGATGCTCACTATTTCCGTTCACATCAGTTTGTCTAGCGAGCTACAGTATTTGCAGGGTTGAAGTTCATTCAAATATTGTGTTTCTAAGTCAGCTTGTCTTATTGGCAGACACTGTTCCCAGATATCACTGTAAAACAAGACAGAGGCGAGTAGCTTTGTGGTGTATGGGTGTCCTTGCCATTCATTTCGTTTGGACGAGTGCTACGTACCGTAATCATCGGATTTCCCATTCATTGCACCCTTCGTGCACGATCGCAGTAGCGCTACGGAGCATTGTATCTTGTGTATTGCGTGACAGTAATATCATGTGCAAACTCCCATGCTGTGTGTGTGTGTGTGTGTATGTGTGTGTGCGCACGTGCATGTGTGTGTGTGCGCATGTGTGTGTGTGTGTGTGTGTGTGTGTGTGTGTGTGTGGTATGGTGTGTGTGCGCGTGCATGTGTGTGCGTATGTGTGTTTGTGTGTGTGTGTATACAGCTGCTGGTGTTCTTCAAGGTCATGCCGGTCGTCATCACTCCGGACAACCTGCATAGCAACATATTCATCTCATCCATACTGGAATCGCCACTGCACGCTCTCTATCATTGTATTGACAAGGTACCCCCTCTAACAAATACTGTGCTGTGTGATAGAGATACACAGTGAAACTTTTCTAAGGCGACCGCTCCAGGGACCTTTACAAAGTGATGTCTGTTACCAGGTGGTCTCCTTATCCAGGGTCATTTGACTGGAAATAGCATCGCTCGGTCCTGGTTTCAGTGGTCTTCTAGGACAGGTGGTCACCTTATCCAAGTGGTCACCCTGACAGGTCCTGCTGTAGTCCCTTGCAGAATTATAGTGGTACAGTGCAAGCTACATGTATATCCACACTGCTGGGTGTACATGTGTGCGCTACCATTTTTGTACATGTATATCATTTGCAGACGTCATTCAAATCTATTTAAATTTTGCAATTGATTAAATTTTGCAATTGTGTGGTGTTTTGGGGAGTTGTCTGACAGCAGTGTGACTAGTCGTGCCTAGTTATGTCTTTGTTGTTGATTAACCATGCCAGTTGCTGACGGTGTACTGCATAATGTAGCATCTACTGGCTGATTCCTTTAGCAGGTTTACTGCTATTTCACCTATGGATCTAGTATGGCCCCAATCTAGAGATACTACGGATGATTAGCAAGACGAAATTCGCGTTCGTGTTCGCGATCCAAGGAAAGTCGAACTCAGTGACGGAATTCTCGTTATGAGAAGGATTAGCAAACAGAATTCGCACATGCATGACATTGACACGTCGTACATTGTGTACAGACAGTATAGCGTAGTAAATTACTGACTGTCCTGACCCAGTTCTTGAACCGAATTATGTTCGCGAACGCGAATTTCGTCTTGCTAATCCTCCGTACTAAGTGTTGGAAATTTGCTGATCTGACTACACTATGCTGCATTCTTACAGATGCTGCTGATTACATCATTGTATTGAGTGGCAAACTGGTGCTGGTAATAGCACTTCATGCAAAGCACCTCAAATGATAGTGTATCGATCAGAGGATGATGATGTAATGATCACATGATGATGATGATGTAATAGTGATGTAATCATGAATCCTCTATCTGTGTATGCAGGTATGGGCACCAGTGTTGTTGGAAAGTGGTAAGTGGAGTCAACAGGTGGATGGAAAACTGCAGCAACTACTGACAGAACTCTCAACGGGCCTAGCAGCGGTGGTGAGACGAGATGACGGAGGCGGCATAGGAGGTAGGTTAAATGCTATTCACGCCATGATGCAATCTTCCTCATTTCTGTGATTCACACCTTGAGTTTTTGGTCATGGAAACCAGCATCCAGTTTTCACGTTAGTGTTGTCCAATGATTGCTTTGTGCGTGAAATTCGGAGGTGCAACACAATCTTCATCCTCGTGTTCGTGTTAGAAGTACATGTATGTGAATACATTACTTACTTGAAATAGGCTTGGGTGCATTGGATTCCCAGTAGATTAGAGAGGAAGGTCTAACCATAAATGCTGTGCCGAAGTGAGATTCCCCGTTACAACAAAGATCTCCCTGATTCGCGGTCATTCAGTTTTCCTTTTCGAATACTTCAGTCCAACAGAGAACATGACGAGTGTAAGTACAAGTACGCACAAATTATTATTGTCCTCATGTGTTGTTTGTGTGCAGAAGACAGAAGAACGGACTCGGAAACAACCAGTCTGACACGCATTCTGACTCCCAACGATGAGTTCCAGTTCTGGGCGGATGTTTCGATGTCGGCCTCAAAGCTAGCGGTGCGCGAGCGTGCTCAAGCATTCCATGGTGTTTTCCAGTCAGTGGTACATGACTTTGCCAATCTCGACTCTCTCTCCTTTGACGGGGCACTGGAATTGATAGAGGTGAGTGATGTCTTGAATTACTAGAAGTGTTGTTGACCCAGTCTACAATTCGTGTCGAGAAAACTGGCAGCCTTGTGTTGTCGTTGTCCTTTTGATCTCTACGAGGTATTAGCACCCTTTTGACATTGCATTGTGTGTCTCGCCCATACCCCGTCGAGGAGAAGACCAGGAGGAAATCTGAATTCACTCATATGGAAATCATTGATGCACAGTATTGTTTTCAGTGTTACTCTAGCTCAGCCTGCGCAAGATTTTGACAATGGGTAAGGAGCTTATAGCTTTGCATACCAGATAGTTATGATTTGCCTCCATTCACCCATCATGCCCAGGCCACGCAAGACACTCTGGACGACCTATGGAAGCAGACGGAGCACGATCCACCGTACCCGCTAGAGCGCATGCAGCACCTGCTCAGCGTGGCCGGTAGTGCTTTCGCACGCTATGTACAGCGTCGTCTAGGTGACACGGACATCTGGAACGGGCCATTCTCTGAAGTGAACGCCACCCTGCAGAAGGGTCTGGCCATTCTGGACAAGTGGACCAGCGTGGGTGAGAGTCTGACAACGCAGTACTGGAAACGCTACATGTCGCACCCCTGGAAGTCGGACAAGTACGTTGACATACACACCACACAGCTCTCCGCCAGGGTCGAAGAGGTAAGAACTGGTCAGTACTGAAACTGACAAAGCCTGTCTCACAGTGATTGGTCAGTACTGAAGCTGACAAAGCCTGTCTCACAGTGATTCTGTGTTGATTGTTTAGTTTAAAACCGGTAACAGTTGCCAGTATCACACAGCATACCTGAGAATGATGCTCTGTTGATTGTTTAGGTGAAAACCAGTAACTATCCAAGGAGTGCTCTATACCCAGTACTGTGCTTTGAGCTGATTATAATTATGTAATTTTTTTAGCATCTACTGGTAAAGGCTGTGCTTCTGAAGCAAGATCAGAATCAACCTTTGTCTGAGGCTAATTTTTGTAATTCTGAATTTTCCTAAAGAGTCCTCCATCACTAGTCATGGGGGTGATTGGGCCGGACTCCAAAGTCTAAGCTGCTATTTTAGTGGAGATTTGACCATGGGTATTCAAAGAAGATAACCTAATGTTAAATATTCAGAAAACACAATATATTACAGTAACTAAAGCCGACTCCTCTTGGCGATCTGTCAAGCTGCTTGGCTCTTTGTTGGGGTCCGCAGAGGATATTCAGGCAAGAATAGGTGCTGCGAATAGAGCGTTCGGCTCCATTTCGTGGAAGCGTCATAAACTGAGCTCCAGACTTTGTATGTTCTCTGCCCTCATTTTGCCTATCCTGTTGTATAACTGCGGACTGTGGGCCCTGACACAGCAACTCAGTAATCGGCTGGACGCATGGCACCGCAGAAAATTGCGGTACCTGCTTGGTGTGGTGTACCCTCACCACATGTCGAATGCCAAGGTGTACGCCTCAACGCGACAAGGCCCAGTCAGCACTACCTGTCGCAGACGTCGGCTGCTCTGGCTGGGCCATGTTGTTCGCGAAGGACGTAACTCAGCGTCCTACCAAGCACTGGAGATGGCAATTAATACCCGGGACATCAAGCGCCCACGTGGCCGACCCCATCTCAGATGGATTGACAATATTAAAAGTGATCTAAAGCACGCCAATATTGATATTTCTGACTGTTTTGAACTGGCTCTAGACAAGAAAGAATGGCTGATGCTTGTGGAAAAATGTGCTGCGCTTGCGTAGTTGTTCTTACTGCGATACGTTCTAACAATAATGAGATGCCTTTTGTTGGCTCTTCTGCCTGGATTTCGTTGACAGATGCGTTAAGCCCATGGATCCTTCCATGAGTGACATGCGAACTGTAACTATTATTATTATTATTATTATTGACCATGGGTACATATTGTTACGATACTTGTTGATTTCCAGATTGTTTCAATCAGGACAGCGCATGAACAGATCCGTCAGCTATTGAAGCCGGAAGAACGAGACGAGCTGCGCATAAAGAAGAGTTTCAGCCCGTTCCAGAAGATGAACGCTCTACAGTACAACCCGTACACGAAGCCAAAGTGGGAGGCCGCTGTGGCGCAGTACCATCGTAACATGGTTCCCGCTGAGAAGCGTATCGCTGCTACTCTGCGCACCGTGGCACTACAGGGTCTGCATAAGCAGGCTCACCGGGTAAGTACATGTGCCGAACTGTTACTCAAGCTTTATCTCACAGCGTGGCAATGACTGTACAGGGATGTAGCTGCTCCCCCTTTTAAGGGGGTGCACGACCGCATTCAATGTACATGTAGGATGGCTGGTGCATGTCATCCATGGTCATAACATGCATGCTGAACCTAGGTCAAAAATGTTAGGGGGGGGGGGGGTGCACGTGCCCCCTGTGCCCCATGCGAGCTACGCGCCTTTGACGTAATATTATACTAGTACTGATAACTATGTGGGTTAAAAAATCATAGCCTGCCTTTACAATCAGCAGTTCTGTATGCTTCAGCAAACCGGCATACATTATCCGTGCCCAATTCACTATTGTGCGCTCATTTGCTCAGATAACTGCCCTGTGGCTGTATGCATGCATGTGTCCGGCCTATGGTAAGTAACTAAAATAAATATACTTTACTCCATATCCAGCTGCATGGGTACGAGTTCACGAGTATGTTATGTGGGATGTGTGTGTTTATGTACCTGTATTCATGAGCATAGCTGTTACGAGAGTTCAAGCGCTACAAGGAACTGCTGAAACGACCCGTAATCCACACTGAGCTGGTTCAAGAAAGGTAATCAGAGTTAATTTTTTGATTGTGAGCACGATGCACTACACTAAATATTCGCGTTTCATGCCAACTTTTTATGAAAGCTTTCGGGTTCGTTTTCATTTAAAGGGGCCCATGATTTCTTGTGATCCAGGTCGATTCAGGGAATGAATAGATCATGGTGTTATTCTTGTTCCCTTTCTCCTGTTCCTACACCCTGCAGGACAACATTGTTGGGGCAGCTGTCGGTGTACATGCGTACACTGCATGATGACTTTGTACAACGAAGTAGTGGACACCAGTCATCAGCTGGTGGCGACCAGGCTGCGCCGCCCAAGGGAAAGAACCTGCCCGAAGTGGTCAACAACATTGTCTGGGCAAGAGGTCTGGAGTCGAATGTAAGTGGCAGAGTGGACTATTCAGTTCTTGAAACCAATGGCCGTGGCCTAGCTGTGTGTGTTCAGAATACCACGGAAAGGGTGAAATGATAACACGCTCTGCACTTCAGGCCAACAAGAGATCGGCGAGTAATAATCTGTTTTTTTCTCAGAGCCACTGCCCTCACCAAACAGCTTCTAACACTTTAGAAGCTGTTTGATGAGGGCAGTAGCTCAAAGAACATAACCAGATTATTCCTCGCCGATCTCTTGTTGGCCTGAAATGTAGATCTGGTTATCACAATCGCTACATCATGACTTTCCCTTGTCATTTCTTTGCTAGGTGGTAGACGCTGAATCAACTGCAGAAGCTCTGCTCAGCGACTTGCCGGCGTTCCAGACATTCAGTACCAGCACCCATGAGCTGATTGAGGAATTGAGGTCGTACCAGAGAGAACTATTCAGCAATTGGTCCAGTGATATGCTGGCTGCTATTGATAGTCCTACAGAACCGTTGGGGTAAGGGATTTCACGAGCTCTCAATCCTTACATTGTATTGCGTTTCAGCCATGGATGTTGGCCAAATTGAAGAGAATGGAATTGCGTTCGGAGTCCGAAATGAAGATACCCAATATATCACCTTTTCTTTGTTGTCTCCATGAGTTGTCTCAGGGATCTATCAACTCCACTCTATCATTATGGAAATATTGATTGCATGGCGATGTTAAAGCGTAGTCCTGGGGATGTCATGGTGATGATAATAATGATGTCATGATGATGTCATGGTGATGATATGGTGAAACCTGTCTAATACGACCGCTCAAGGGACCTTTACAAGGTGATCTCTGTTACCAGGTGGTCTCCTTATCCAGGGTCATTTAACTGAAAATCGCATCCCTTGGTCATGGTTGCAGTGATCTTCCTGGACAGGTGATCGCCTTACCCGGGTGTTCGCCTTGACAGGTCCTACTGTATAATGATGTCGTGATGATGTCATGGGATGTAATGATGACATCATAGTTCTGCGCTTGTCCTTTTGCACTGTTCTCCTGTATGTGTAGACTGGAGACTAGTGGTCGGCTAATGGAGCTGGACATCACCGATGGACATCTGAAAGTGCACTACAGCGAGCGTCTCGTGCAGCTGCTGCGCGAGGCACGACAGCTGACATGCTTTGGCTACGCTGTGCCAGCTCGAATCCAGCACACTGCAAACACTGCCGGCAAGTTCTACCGCCATGCAGTCATTCTGAAGCAGGTCAGTACTTGTGAATAAAAGAACAGGAGCAAGGTGTTGCATAGAAAAAACCCTCGGAATGATTTCAAATGACTACTTGCTTTCATCCTCTGACCCATACCCCTGCAGGTTGCCAACTTTTACAACACCATCGACCAGCAAATGTTGAAGTGCCAGCATTCCATCCTGCTCCAAGCAGCATTGGCCTTTGAAGAGCTGATCAAGCATCCGTCCAAGGTGGCTGGCATGGCGGTCAAGACGCAGAAGAAAGGCAAAGACGAGAAAAAGGTTTGTCAGCGTCCTGTGGTGTTTGAACTGGAGTTTCACCCCTCCCCATGTAAGCATTGTCTCCAAAATGCTGTTTCGATCGACTTTCCATACATTCTGTGTACAGGTTCAGGTGACGTGGGATAATCCATCGGTTCTGGAGGTCTACATCTCGCGCATACAGCAAGCTGCTGAGCGCATCACCACGGACAATAGGAAACTACGCATCAAGCACACCAGCCTGTGTGAGAAAGTAAGGAACGTTGCATAACGGTGTAATGAGTAACACACTATGGCTGCATGTTTTTTCTATGAGTGCCCATGGGCTCCAATCTTGTTAGAATTGAGGAGCAAAAGGGTGTTGAGACCGACTTCACGCAGACTACCTGAGGTTGGAGCCCATGGTGACTTGTAGACAAAACAACAGAAACATCCATTGGTAGTGGAATCACTAGCCCCATAGTCATTGCACCACAGCACAGCATATTCTTTCCGTGGTGAAACACTAGAAATCTTGGCCTCTAACTGTTACCTTGCTGTTCCCAAGGTCAAATTTGCAATTTGAACCATGTGTACTCTTTGAAGCTGGAAGATCTCCAGCGGTCGCTGAAATATCCCTAAGCAGTGCTGTTTTCTGTGCACATTTCCTGCTCAGATTGCCAGTTTGATGAATGTGGACTTATTGCGACAGCAGAGCACGTGGAAGGAGACCATCCGTAGTATGCGTGAAGAAGTGTCAGCCTTGGCCAAGCAGGTAATGTGTTATACCATAGCAACACCTGTTGATGATGACTTCAACAAAGAGAATGTGTCCTTTTCTCATTACGAGCCTGTGGAACGCACCGTGTATATACCATGTTACTTGTCGAATGAAGTAGTCTCTCTTCTATGTTGAGATTTTGCGTCACCCATCTGTAAAACACCACCACTGTTACCAGAGGAACCTAATTTTTCCGAAAGGCGTAGTTGCTTTCACTGAAGTGGTCAGTGAAAGTCGCAAGCAGGTCACTCTTCCCCTACGCTTAGCTGTAGTGATCAGTGCAGTGAGAATTTAAAGCATTTTGTACGCTTGATGTACTGTAATGAATATCTTTCAGGGTTTCAAGGAGGATGACATGCGACCGTGGAAGACACATCTCGACTACCAGCTCTACAAGGCTCTGGAACACCAATACCGCACAGGGCTGGAGGTCATGAACGAACACTTGCCAGAGCTCAAAGTGGAGCTAACCTACAGGTCAGTGTTGACTATAGACAGAACAACACAAGGGCAATCAAGGCAGGTTGCCTGATGATTGTGAAAGCATGAAACTCAGAGTAGCGACTAACTAGCCTTGCATGCCCGTGTTGTTCTGTGTGTATTACGCTCTGCCTCCGCGGTGTTGAGCACTGTCAGCACACTGGGTGCATACTCCAGTGTGTTGATTTTATAAACTAATAATGAACCTACTGTGTAAACTGGTAAGAGCATGTGTCCGGCTGCAAATACGGTAGAACAGGCTATATTTGCATCTAGCGAGGCAAAGAGTGCCATAGACGCAGTACTTTGTTTCCACGTTTGGAAGTGCACACAGCCCTTGGTCTAGGATGAACTGATGATTGTGTTATCGTGACACCTGGAGTATTGAACATGACGGAACTCTGGGTAGTCCTACCATTGAGCATTGCAAGGCTGGTGGACTGTACATGTGTGGTATTTGACCTGCCAATGATTTGTTGGGTTATCCTGCGGATGAGGGGGGGGGGGGGGTGTGATTTACCTAAAGGAAAGTTATATTGCCTTGTGAGCTAGTTCTGACCTGGTTACAAACGGCCCTGGACTATGTCCCCTCTTTTTATTTCTCTCCGCTTTTGTATGTCCACTACAGGCATCAAAAGGTTCAGTTTCGGCCGCCGATTGAGGAGATACGCGGACGCTACTATCGCGAAATGCGCAAGTTCATGTTCTTGCCACATCTCTTCCGAGGATTTCTTGACAAGGGCTCTCCTGGGAACGTGAACTTTGGCACAATGGTATGAATTGATCTAGGAATGAATGATTGTCTGTTATGGTCCTTTGCCATGGTTCGGACTAGATTTTGAGGATCCATATTTTCTATATTCTTTGACAGCTTGGGACACGAGGAGAAATATTTTCCTTATCAAAATGCAGTGCAAACTGCATGAAAAATCCATACTGACACAGAATTCAAAATTATCGGTTCCAACTCGAGTTTTACGGTGATGAGTGCTCAGAGTGAAACTCTGGCTTGGAACCGACGATCCTGACTTCCATGTTTGCTCTACCCTGGGGCATCGAGAACTATTCTGAACAATGGAAGTTGACTACTGTGTGAATGTGTCAGTATTGAAATCAGCCCAACTACAGAAATACAGCTCAAACCCAGAAATGTTCTGGGCTGTTTCCGAAAGTCCAGACTGTAGATAATAGTGTGCTTTGGGTAGAAACTCCCGTCGTATTGTGCCTTCCATGCAATCATCACTTCTAGGGCTTCAATTCCAAAGACACTATCGAATACACATGGCCATGGCTGAATGGTATAACCCTAGATTTGTTCTGCAGAAGTTACTTACTCATGAGGAACATGTACGTAAGAGCTGTGCTGGGTCCTGGTACTCTGTCTCAGCCAGCCATAAAGGTTCAGGTATTGCGGCAGACAGCACACACTGTGTTTCACGCAACATGACGTTATCTCCTGCTCTTTCCCCGTGTTATTCCCAGGTGGACAAGAACTCTCAGTCATTCAAGTCAGTCTACACCAAGGCGGAAAGTCTGTTTGAGCGCCTGGAAGAGATCCGTACCAAGTTTGAACCTATGATGGTCCTGGGCCTGGTCGGTAGTGGACTGGAGATGGAGAACTTGATTGAGCAATACCTGACAGAAGTCAAGGATTGGGAGATGAACTTCAAAGTATTGAAAGTCAAAGGACGCGAGGCAGAGACTCTGCCAAAGTACGTTACCAGGTTATCTGGAATACATTCCATGCTCGCAATTTTGACATGAACAGTAAACCTATTAGTGCACTTGTAGCTCTAAATTGATCGCTTTCGGGTGTGTCTGGTCTCCGTTCTGCACCGTCCCTCTCACCCCCACCCCACGCCTGCTTTATGAGGTACATATGCAAGTTGATTCCTCAGTGTGTTGTCTGTATTGTGGATTCGGAAGTAAAAGTCTTTCAACTGCACCGTAACGCAGCGTGTGAAAGCAGAATTTGGAGATTATGCTGCCGGCAGATTTCTACCTGATTGCTTGTGGAATGATCATGCTTCATGCACATCAATACTGCTCTGTTTGACTCACTCTGGACCATCATAATCCACTTGCAGCTCAGAATCTATCGTGTTCACCCATGTTTATGTGCAGCTCAATCAAGGTGGACTGTGTGGTCGTGTCTACCTCACCCATCAAGGCTACCATTGATGACCAGATTCAAAAGCTGCTGGACGCATTGTTGCTGACGCTGAGACGCTCTGCACTCAGAGACACGGGCAAGATCGACGAGTTCCTGGGACAGGCACTTGAGTCGCTATCAACGCGGCCACAGACAACGGATGAAATTGCTGAGGCCAAGAAGATGCACATTAGACTGACGGAAGAGAGTCCTGATGTAAGTATGTGGTGTACATTCTCGGGGAAAAAGTACTTTTCCTGAACGATTTTCATCAAAGCATCAGTGTCTTTTCTGCATTCGCACTTCTACACAAGTATGTATAACAAACAATGTAGGACACATTGTGTGTACAATGCATATGCATCGTAGCGCTGTGTTGATCTGCAAGGCCTACTGATATGGAGGTTTCGCTGGATTCGTATTGACTGATCCATTCAACAGCATAATGGTACAGGTATGTGTGTCATCCCCCGTAGTAAAATCGGTGGGGTACTTTCCCCGTAAAGACAGGTTTGAATCCCGCTCGTGAATCCTCCTTTTCCAACTGTTCATGTTATAAGGGATCGGTATGTTAGCATTTCAATGATATGAACAGTCTTGAAACTGTTTGCACAGGCTCATGAAAGACACTCCTTGTATTCCCGGTGTATTCTGTGTGCTGGTTTCAGATTCAGCCATTGTTTGCACTGGCTGAGGAAAAGAACCAACTTCTCAGGTCAGTGGCAGGTGGTGGTGTGGAGGCCATAGCTCAGCTGCGTACCAAGTGGGACAGGTTTGGATTGATGCTGGAGAGTCATGAGCTCATGGTCAAGGATCAGGTCAGTGATGTCATCCTGATGACGTCATAAGAAATAGGCCATGATGATCATCATGTCACTGATGCAGATAGGCATAGAGGGATGGTCTAAGACCATGATTGGGAAACAGAGGGTACCAGGTTCAAGTCCTGTGTGGAAGCGGAATGATTTTTCCAGCCATGCTGCGACCCACAGTTAATTGGGAACTCGTGGCCTGGCACGAGGGAAGCATCGGTGTAGTGAATGGGATTTTTGATCTTTGACCACTGGCTGGTGGGTCTGATCTCCTCACCTCCCACCGCTTAAGGAGCTGATCTTTGAAATGGAGTTTTCGAATCGAAAATAACTGTTGCAGATATTGGTCATCTGTTGTATCATTGATCTGTGTGTGGTCACTGCATATACCTCTTCCCTCGTGTTCAGGTGGAAGTCATGAGGTCCAACATGCAGTCCACCATCAACGCATTCAACAACGAGATAGAGAAGTTTGCACACCGCTGGGAGCAGCTGAAACCCGGCCATGTTGACATCGACTCTGGCCAAGAAGCCTGCCAGGATGCACTTAGCGGGCTGAAGGACAGGAGAACGGAATGGGATGAACTGCTCAAACAGGCCGAGAAACTGAGGTAGACAATATGTTACTGTTAGTTTTCAAGACGTATGGTGGTGCTCAATGGGTTAATGCAATTGGCATTAACAGTCGTATATGAACGGAATACAAGAGAAATTCAGGCACACAGACTTGCTTGTTCGCTCGGTTCCTGTTCTATGCTGTTGGTGTCATGTGTGTTAAAAATATCTTACAGGGAAGAATGCGAGAACTTTTCACTTCCACCACCAGATTTCCACCTGGCTGAGCAGGTCACACAGGACATGGAGTCTTGCGAGCAGATGTGGAAGCTCTACGAGGAGTTCAGTGCAGGTCTGCAGGACCTGTCCAGTCAAGACTGGATCTCATTCCGGTAAGTCAGGACTTCAGTTCCAGTGTACTGTGTATGTACTGGTTTGTCAGCATGTAGGCGGACACTTGCATGACTATATCAATTCGGTTGTTGATGTATCTCATCGTCGCCATCAGCCTTTTCGCGTTGACAGATCGCCATGCAAGCTTGGCTAGTCTTCGCTCGGGCCAAATGGAATAAAGAACGAAGAACGAGCGGTGTCAATGAATGAATATTGATGTAGCTAATACATGTAATCACACTATTTGAATGGTATACTCTCCATGTAGTACATGGGCATATTCTTTTGTGCTGCACCAATTTCACGATAGTTTAATTTCTATTTTCCTTTGAGAACTTGCACGCCATTGCAAACCTCAGGATGGAAATTTTGCTGAAATAGTGTAGCAATTGACCATACAGCGAAAAGGAATTAGAGGATTGCAGAGTAAATAAGGAAAGAGCAAAGTCTACTCAACACCTCATGATATCTTCCTGTGTGCAAGAAAACAACTTTCTTATCATCAAGGTCATCAAGGACTTCGTCAATTCTTTCACCGCATAGCTAAGGCTAATTTCTCCGCCATATTAATTGCATATAGCCATTGGACGGAAAACAAAAAAGATGATGAATCTGTTAGCCTTGTGCAAGGTGCATGACGTCATAGGTAGACTTGATTACGAATATTGCTGTGCTCATCACAGGAGCAAGACGTATCAGTTTGATGACTTTCTGACGACTTGGTACAATCGCCTTGGTGTGGGCCAGGCTGGTGCTGAGCATACGGACATGTCTGTGAGACTCACCCGTGATGTTGAGAAGTATCAGGTACGTAGATGCCAATGCTATTCAGTGACTGGTTGTGTGTTGTCGTTACCTAGCGTTCAGGAAAGAAATCTAGGCTATGCAGAAACAGAAAGTTGGTTGAAATCCAATATCATGACCTCTGCTTCACGGATCGTGCATATTGCGCACATACTGTGTACATACTTCCTCCGGAAACAAAAACTTCGTGACTTTTTTCACTACTTTTCGCTGCTGTTATTTCGCTCTCTCCGCTCTGGTTCCGTCGGCCTGAAACGCTGACATGACATTTTGGAATCGTAGGAAAGCATGGTTCATATTTTGGAGAGGCGACAGTCGTCGCAGAGCAAGGGTGTCGACGCTGCAAGCAAAGCAAAGCGAACATGTTTTTCATTTTTCGTCCATCAGGCGCAATGGGAAGAAAAGCACTCCACTCACTGCTCGTCGTTGCTATATTTTAGTTCAGAACTTGACAGAGCAAGAAAATGGCACCCAGGAGCAAGAAGAGTGGAAAATGATTAGCAATAGCAGCTAGCGTTTTGAAATCTTTGCCATTCCCGAAACGACTGTCTGCATGCGAACAGGTCTGCAAGATGTCAAAACTCCAAAACGCAGAGATGTGACAGTCGTCGCTTCGCCCGGCATGAGCAAGATAAACAAGTTCGAAATAGAAGTCGTTCAGCCATTGCAGAGCCCAGACCTCAACGTGGATGATCTCGCCTTTTTCCAGCAGCCTCGACGATGTGTCCTTGGTTGGAAAGAAGAAGGCGAGATCAGATCGCGGCAGTCGGGAAGTGCTGGTACGACTATGATAACCCTGGGAGGAAATTTGAAATGTTTGGCGTTGCCTGTGTATGTTGTTCCGGGCATCCTCGAGCGAGAGCGGAGGCGGCAATGAGTACCAGCGCTGCCGTGGTCTCCGCCGAGATGTTGGAGAAGGCATTCAGGTAACAGCGAAGACTATCAGGGACGCGGAGAAGCTTCTCCGTGACATATGGCATCGCGTCGATCGACCTGCCACTTGGAACGGTTTCAGCGGTGATAAGTTGAGCTATCGCGACCCAGACTGAGACTTTACTCCCACTAATTGATCCTGTAGATATCGTAGATATGTCGATTGAATGTGTTGAAGTGTCTCTCTTCTAAAAGAACACTTTTGTTGAGCACAGTAACTCCCTGGAAAGTCATGTCGAAAAGTCACGAAGTTTTTGTTTCGGAGGAAGTACCATGATTGTACAACCCTAACGGTGTATAGAACATGCCACTAAAGGCATGCATTGGGGTCCAATTGCAGCTCAAAGGTCCTGGGTTCATTAACTCATAATAATTATTGATAGTGATGTATATGAATGCACTGTACACAAGGACAGCGTAGTGCGATTCAAGACCAATGCATGCTCAGTTTCGTAGGTTGGATTTTGTCAAGCACCGTTGTATCTCTTGGTCTTCACAGTGACACTGGGCACCATGTATCATAGGTGTCCTACTCTGGTTGGTGTTTGTGTGGGGCCGCAGCCTATTCACGTGGTTACTGTACACAGTAATAGTTGACTACAACTTCTTTCACTCTCGTTCTCTATCTCTTTCTCCCTTTCGCCCTCACTCTCTCTCTCTCTCTCTGTATCTCTGTGTGTAGGTATTGGCTCCATTGCTGAAGTATGTACGTGGCGAAGTCTTGTCCACTGACCATTGGGTTGAGCTGTACGGAATGCTGGGCATGCCAAAGACTATGACCATTGACAAACTGACGTTTGGCCATTACCTTTCAGTCAGTAATGCTATCGTGGACAATGCAGACAAGTTGAAGGTACGGAAAGCCATTATTTTGCACTTCTCGTTTTGATATTCATAAGTTGAGGGAATGGAAAAGGGAAAATGCCTGAAGAAAAATGTACCGTTACCACCAGGAATCGAACCAGGGACCTTTCCTTCAGGCCAGCGATGCTCTGACCACTGAGCTATGGTGTAGCTGTCATCCCAGCAGAGACCGTTCAACACTTTCTTCAGACTTCGTAACTCACACTTCCTGTGACTCTCCTCTCATTTTGAGGCGATTTTTTTGTTTAAGCTATGTACGAGACCATGTGAACTGATTTCCAAGTGAATTTTCCAATTGAATACAAATTGCCCTTACTGCGGCATGCCAGTGTATTGTGGCTTTCAAATTCATAGAAACCCAGACTTCTGACTTCGAATTTCCACTCTGTTGGTTTGAAATCATACATGTATGTGCAGTTGTTTGATGTCATGTGTGTGTGTCTGTCTGTCTGTCTGTCTGTCTGTCTGTCTATCTGTCTGTCTGTCTGTCTGTCTGTCTGTCTGTCTGTCTGTCTGTCTGTCTGTCTGTCTGTCTGTCTGTCTGCATGTGTCTGCGTGTGGTTGTTTGACATCATGATAATCTTCAGGAGCTGTACAGTCGAGCCCAGGGCGAGGTGTCCATACGAGAAGCACTGCGGGAACTGGAGATGTGGGGAGCAGCCACAACATTCACTCTCACATCCTACATGGATACGGACGATAAAGAACTGTTCATTGTCAAGGACTGGAAAGAGCTGGTCAATCAGGTAGGATTAGGTGCTAAAATTGTGAACATTGAACCTGGCTTACGGATTATTTTCGAGTTCATTTGGCAGGGGCGTCGGACACGCTATAGTCTCTTCGGTATTGACCGGAACATTCTTTGTCCCGGGTACCCTGTGAATCAAATGCACTGACTTGGACTCTGAATTTTTTAGCGGAGCCACACCCTCCCAACGAGTAAATTGTACCTCAGATGGATGGCCGTACCACACTAAAATTACCTTCCGATTCCCCTGTTTAGTTTGGAGTGAACTAGACAAAAGATAACCAAACTTGGGCCTTGTCTGAGGTGAGTGCAAGCAAATGCTGATAGGGATTTATGGCAAGTAGGGAAAGGTACCCCGGATCATGGTAAAGGTACCCCGGATCATGGGAAAGGTACCCCGGATCATGGGGAGAGTACTCCCGATCATGGGAAAGGTACCCAGATCATGGGAAAGGTACTCCGGATCATGGGAAAGGTACCCCGTATCATGGGGAAAGTACTCCCGATCATGGGAAAGGTACCCAGATCATGGGAAAGGTACTCCGGATCATCCTTGTGGCACGGGACCATGGGCAGCCAAGTCAGCTTGGGGCACAGGCTGATGGTGCCCAATTGGAACTTTAACCCAAGTGCTGCGCATATCAACCTTTTGCATTTACTCTGTATGTATTTAGGTAGATGGGTGCACTAAGTTATTATCGTGCAAACGTCATGGTAGTTCTTCCTTATCTTGCCATGCAGGTTGGAGACAACCAGTGTCTGCTACAGTCATTGAAAGACTCACCCTACTTCACTAGCTTTGCTGACAAGGCACAGCTGTGGGAGGGCCGTCTGGCTGAGCTGGACGAGTGTTTGCGCCATCTCAACGCTGCGCAGCGCAAGTGGGTCTACTTGGAACCGATCTTTGGACGCGGTGCGCTACCGCACGAGCAGGGTCGATTCAGACGGGTCAACGACGACTTCCGGTGAGAGAGCATGAAACACTTGATCATCACGTTTTCCATTCCCTCAACTTATGAATATCTCCTTGTGTTTTCAGTTTTTACCAGTGCTTGGCACAATAGGTTATTCCTGTAGATTATTATGTAATGTTTTGCTACAAAGCACTGAAACATCACTGCTCGTGTATTGTCTATGTGTCCTACATGTACATGTAGGTCTGTTATGCAGAACATTCGCAATGACAGCCGTGTGGTGTCCTTTGTGGGCCGTACCGGTATCAAGAGTCTGCTGCTCACGGTTCTTGAGCAGCTGCAGCGCTGCCAGAAAGCACTCAACGAGTTCTTAGAGGTACTGTACTATGCAGATACTGAACTCTCTATTTGTGTTTTGTTTATTAATCACCGAAGACCTTAACTAGGACATGTAAAAGGCCGGGTGTGATGTCTTACCAGTAGACTCCTTATCTTTTGCGGATTATGATTGTTTGTGCTTAGATTTCACACAAGCAAGGCTGCACAGGGAGTCGTATATAACTTGACAGATCTTCCTTTCAGTTCTTGACTTCATGGCAATGTGAAGTGATTTGTAATCCATTAAATCAGTTTTTGTCACTACCTGACCCATTATTCAACCAACTGAGAATTCAAGTCGGCAGGAATAGCGCAAGCTCCCGCGTAGGGAGCAACACACAATTCCCCAAGTAACGCCGAAGTCGCACCAACCTATTCTTCAGATTTAAACAAAATCATAGTATATCATCTTGATTTAGGCCACTTTTCATACCTGATATTCCGCCATGCTGCAGGAAAAGCGAGCACTGTTCCCTCGCTTCTACTTCATCGGTGATGACGACCTGCTGGAGATCCTGGGTCAGAGCACAAATCCCACTGTTATCCAAACTCACCTGAAGAAGCTGTTTGCCGGAATACACAGCGTGAAATTCGATGACGACGCGACCAGAATACTTGCCATGTGCTCCCTGGAGGGCGAAGTTGTGCCTCTCATCAAACCAGTGACCATCTCCAAAGATGTTGAGGTAAGTGTTGAAAAATATTGTTGTGCAATATTCTACACCTATTTAACTCTCCATTGTGTCTGAATATATACACTAAGGCATGGAAGACCGTCATATCTAGGGAAGAATTCTAGAGATCATGTCGAGATTATTAGTTTCAAGATGTGCAGTAAAGCGCAAACAGCAATATTGGCTATTCAACAAGAGTTGTTGGACCTTAAAATGTGAACAATGGTTGCGTGACGAAGTAGAAGAAGATACGTGCCAATTTGCTCATGTTTCGCTAATGGTCTCAAAAATTACTGTGGCCAGCTTCATTTGCAGATGTGACTAAGTGTGGTAGTCCTGAGTTTGTCATCGGCTAACACGGTAGGACAGTCGGCTCCTACTCAGCCTTTCCACGTGTTACCGTATTTTCCGGAGTATATGCCGCACCAGAGTATAAGCCAAAACCGCCATGTTTTTGCCACGAAATACAGACATCTTTCCATTTTTCACTGCTAATTTGATCATCGGAGTATAAGCCGCATCCGCCTTTTTTTGTGTGAATGTTTGAGTGTTCAAAGTACGGCTTATACTCCGGAAAATGGGGTTGTTGTTTAACTATGTCATGTTGTGTTGTGCTCTGTTGTAATGCTTGGTGTGACAGGTGTGGCTACTGCACCTAGCCGAGGAAATGCAGATCACACTGAAAGGATTACTGGCTAAAAGCTTGATGACTAGTCAGTCATCTGGTCAGGCAGTTAACCCCAATGACTTCCCATCTCAAGTAAGTCATTTTGTCAAACTTTTGTGTTCAATATTACATTTCAATTACTTCATGGTTTTCACGCAAATGGCGTTGTGAAAAAAACCCGTTCTCAAGTAAGTCACTTCGCGCTACACAAGCGATGGAATGGGCATAGAAGCATAAACTCCAGACATTCGACTACCACCGCCGCCACCGCCACCACTACCACCGCTTGCAATAGTAGTCGTGTGTGCAATGTGTTGGCCAACTATCAGTTATATCTCTTGGTTTGGATCATCTATGTACTCACTCTGTCACAAAGGTCGCCCGTCTCTGTAAAACACTCCAAACGACAATACCTTATGTGGATTTCAGGGCGGAAGAGCTTTCGAATATTCCAGGAAGATGGCTCTCCAGGCGTTGTGATGTGTGCTTTTAAGTGTGGCTATATTCATAGCGGGGAGTACTGGTTGCAGTGGCCATTCCCTGGTCTCACAACTTGATTTATAGCATAATGAAATGACCTCATTTTGTGTTTCTATGGATGCTCTCTATAGATCCTGTGCCTAACGGAATATATCGAGTTCACCGACCATTGTGAGGCGGCCATTGCAGATGGCAGTCTAAATGAATTGCTCATTGAACTGGAGACGCAGCTGGAAGGATACACCAGTGTGGATCTATCTGCCGGTCCATCGGAGGACGGTGATGCGTCCAAGGTCCTGGACCTGAAGTTGAAGGCACTCATTCTGGACACCATCCATAACATTGAGGTTGTCAGGTTGCTGATCCAGGAAGGTGTGAAGAATGCGGATAACTGGCTCTGGCAGAAGCAGCTACGCTTCTATGCTACTGACACACAAGGTAGGGCATTGAGAGTAAGAGGGAAGTGAAATATTCTCAGTGCCTTTTGTGCAGAAACCATTCGCAATGTTTAGTGTAATGACGGTAAATAGAATGGTAGATGTATTCAGACAAACAGCAAGCGTTAATCTCTTTTTTCTCCCAGCCATGTACACTGGTTCACAAAATCATGTTTTCCATTGGTTTACCATTGCTTCACTAAATGTCCATGCCTTTTCATTAGTCTTGCATTTCAACATGAGCATTCTGGACCTGCAGTGTATCCCAAGCTCACGTTGAATTGGTAACTGACCACAATCCACTCTGCCAAGAAGCAGAGTGACAATTCTATGGAACCATATTTTTTTACGGGAAGTGGATAGTTTTGGAACCATAATGGCCATTGTGTAATTTAGGAACAAAACTGCCAGTAACTGACTGGTGTTTTCACTCTCTCAAGTCTGGAATTCTGAGCACTAGCCCATCGCTGGGTCTGTTCGTTCTCTCTCTGTTTTCTGTAGGTGCCTGTGTTATGAGAATGGTGGATGCAGAGTTTGCATACAGCTTTGAATACCAGGGTAATGCGCCGAAGCTGGTGCACACACCACTGACTGACAAGTGTTACCTGACAATGACCCAGGGAATGAGAATGGGTCTGGGTGGTAACCCATACGGACCGGCTGGTACTGGAAAAACCGAATCAGTGAAAGCGCTGGGTGGCTTGTTTGGCCGACAAGTGCTCGTATTCAACTGCGATGAGGTAAGCACTCATGCTACCTTCTTACATTAAAGGGGAAGTTAAGGCAAAAATTAAAATTTCACCAGTTGTAGTCTTCGGGGTGCTGAGTCGAATGGTCTTGGTCCGAGGAAGCTGAGACGCTCCCTTCCTACTTGAATCCCAATCGAACTCGCGCACTTCCACCGAAACTGGGTGACTGCGCCCTACGAGATGGGGATTTGTATGCAAAATGTCACTAAAAGCGCCATTTCGTTCTTATAAAAGCACGGATGACCGCGATTGGCCCATATGTTGTAGTCTTTTGGACGCTGAGTCAACTGGTTTTGGTCCGAAAAGGCTGCGATGCAGCGTTCCGCCTTTATTCCCAATTGAACATGGTTGAACAAGCGGTCACGTGCTCCTGCGTACGCCAGTCACCTGGTCACTGTGCCTGCAGGGTACAACTTACTAGCCTGTTTGACGTTTTTTGGGTGCAGTCCTGTCACTCGAGTTGAACTCGAGTTGAACCTTGGTGTGAAAGTTGTCACCTTCTGGCGTGGTGACCAGGTGATTTGGGCACCCAGGAGCACGTGACCACTTGTTCAACCATGTTCGATTGGGAATAAAGGAGGAATGCTGCATCGCAGCCTTTTCGGACCAAAACCAGTCGACTCAGCGTCCAAAAGACTACAACATATGGGCCAATCGCGGTCATCCGTGCTTTTATAAGAACGAAATGGCGCTTTTAGTGACATTTTGCATACAAATCCCCATCTCGTAGGGCGCAGTCACCCAGTTTCGGTGGAAGTGCGCGAGTTCGATTGGGATTCAAGTAGGAAGGGAGCGTCTCAGCTTCCTCGGACCAAGACCATTCGACTCAGCACCCCGAAGACTACAACTGGTGAAATTTTAATTTTTGCCTTAACTTCCCCTTTAAGGCAGATATCCGCATTGGATTGGATGGATGGATTGGATTGATTTCATTTATGGTGATGACTATCAGGCATTTGCCTAATGACAATAGACCCATTCGGCAGAAGGAATTGATATTGGATGAATGTATTGTAATATTATGTTCAGTGTTCAGACCCCATTTGATTGTGCATTTCACATCTTAGGTATGTATGCGTGTTGGAACAATATCTGCCAGGTTCAGTTAGTCGCATTCAAGTCCATTATTCATACTTCTAAAGCACAATCTTTCCCCTGATTCAATGAAATACTGCAATGCATCCGACACGCTTGTGTGAGGTCTAATGCAACTGCTCTCCTCCCATTCGTGATTCTCTGGGTTCCTACTCTGGGTTATATTCATACACGTGCCAGTGATTTAATGATTTATCTTATACATGAATTTCTGCTGCTGCTGCTGCCATTTGTACTGCAGGGTATTGACGTACAGTCAATGGGCCGTATCTTTATCGGACTGGTGAAATGTGGTGCATGGGGATGCTTTGATGAGTTCAATCGCTTGGAAGAGGCCGTACTCTCAGCGGTGTCTATGCAAATCCAGACCATCCAGGCAGCCATCAAAACCAAACAGGAATCATGTCAGCTGCTTGGGAGGGAGGTAAGTGCTTGACTGAGAGTATTGGATTGCGAACAGCACAATCAAGTACTTGGTCCGACTTATTAAAATGTGCGTTTCGCTTCGAACGTCAACCAAACAAATTCAAATAATCTCAGGACGGAATAAACTTTACAGCTACCTAACACTATCCTTCAGTTGTCAATTTGTGATGTTGAAGAAGAAATGGCTCCAACTCCAACGGAGGCAGCGGCTCGGGATCCTAGTCGACTCGAGAATTTTGCGTCCAAATTTTGTCGTCAGAGGACTCCTGTTGCTTCTCGCGCAACACAGAGAAGGCCTGGTGCTGAAATCAACACCCCGCTGCGATGGGGGATTGTCACGGAGTACCAGAACCTCCTGGGCGATCGTTCTCGAGTGCGTCCTGGCAGATTGAAATCGCTGCAATCGCTGTTTCCTTGGCAGAATTTCAGCAAACGCGTCATCCAGAAACTCGTACAGAAAGCACCAGCATCGCTCTGTCCAGTTTGCTGATCTCTCTTGCAGTCGTTCACGATGTGGCGGCCGTCGAATCAAGATCACAGAAGTGATCGTCGAGAAGTTGATCGAAATAAATAAAGGGCCTTGAGCTTGAGGTCGACTTTCAGGCGACAACCTGGCTGGAAAACTGAAGCGCAGAAAGAGTGAATTATCCGGCGGATACGGTGCGGAGTCCTCGGAGCCTCGATCGCGATGCGTCACAAGATCGCCAGTCTCCGGGGCCAGTGGATTCGTGAAACAGGCAGGGAAGAGCACGCATGGTCTGACTGCATGACATGTCGACACAGATCAGACTCATGATCAGTAGACCTACGCGCGCAGTACACCAGTGGTACACGGTGGTCAGAATTGATTTTTATGCGTGGTGGTTTACTTGTTCGCCTCATTTGAAGGTGTCGTGGGAGCTTCAGGCGAAAACACCTACAGCACCATTCTGGTAGTCGTACTGCACGAGGAGGAGGAGAAGTCGATCGTCTAAATCGTGCCGATGGAGTGAAAAAATCAAAGAAGCGCAGTGTAGCTTGGAGGAGATGAAAAAAATGTCGACGTTTTGCAAGTTGACGCACTTGCAGATGCGTCCTGAGACACCAGCAGCGATGAAAACTAGAAGGTCAGGCCAAGAAACGACACAGTAGTTATCTATCTACCGACTCTTGGTTGATTTTTTAGTACAGGTGCTCCTTTGTACATATGCTTGAGTTTAGAAGTGAAGCGCACATTTTAATAAGTCGGACCAAGTATATAACTATGCTTAGATTGTAGAAAGTAAAGTGTCTTGTATAACATTTCACATACACGATGCACAGAATGGTGCTGATGTAAGAGTATGCACGTTGTGAGATGAGCTAGCTGCATGAGAAATGCTCAAATCCAGTACTGTGTCGGATGGGACAGCATCATGTAAGCAGCTTAGGAGCAGCTAGTAAGTGCATGTTGTGTTGTGTTCATCCCCAATGCACACCAGTGATATAAGACCCAATGCCAATGCCTACTATCTGTCGGTCTATGCTACAGATTGAGCTGAACGTGAACTCCGGCATCTTCATCACACTGAATCCGGCCGGGAAAGGTTACGGAGGCCGACAAAAGCTTCCTGACAACCTGAAACAACTCTTCCGGCCGGTGGCCATGTCAAAACCGGACAATGACCTCATCGCCGAGGTCATCCTCTTCTCCGAGGGCTTCAAGCAAGCTAAACAGCTTGGCAAGAAGCTGGTGGAAGTCTTCAGTCTATCAAAGTAAGTTGTGATGAACAGCTGTGTTGTACACCAAGAGCATAAGTAGAGAGGATCATGTAGTGGAATCTAGCTGCAGCAAATAATTGCATCTTTCCTTTGAGCAAGCAGACATCGAAGGATCGAAGGCTAAGCTTCAAATTCATGCTCTGTGTATCTTGTGTTCTTTTTTTCTTTGCGACCAGGGAATTGCTGAGCAAACAGCAACACTACGACTGGGGACTGAGAGCTTTGAAAACTGTGCTCAGGGGTTCCGGTGCTCGGCTGCAGGAGGAGAAGAAAGGTGATTGGACAGCATTTCAATCTAGTGTGATTTGAGTGCTGTAGGATCAACCACAGTGGATGTTGTTACTTGCCACGTGCATTGTCCATGAATATTGTGCAGTTGTATAGTCTGTAACCGTAACACACCAAATAAGCCACATGGAGAAGGTTCTGTAGGATCTGAAACAGCGCATTCTGGATCCCGGTGCACTCACGTGCATTTATCATGTATTCCCTTTTTGTAACGTGCAAGCAGCTTTTGTGAATGTGTTACTGGATTGGGTCTGACGAGTGATTTATGTTTTTCTTGGTTTTCTAGTCAACAAGTCGGTCGACCCTGCCACCGAAGTCCGTCTCATTGTCCAAGCTTTGCGCATCAACACGCTTTCAAAGCTTGCTTTCAACGACAGCAAGCTGTTCGATGGTCTAGTTCTGGATGTGTTTCCCGGTGTCAAGTTCGAAGACATAGCCTATGCCGAGTTGAGAGAGGCGCTGGTGAAGGCGTGTGAGACCATGAATTTGGAGGTCATTGATTCTCAGGTATGTGATGCACGTGTGCTGTGGCTGTGTTCACGTGTCTGCAATCTCGAGAATGTCACTTGGAGCTGGCTACCTCTCTCGACACGACTGGCTTCAAGACGACATGACTGGCCCTGACGCGATTCTGCAAGCGAATGTGACTATACTGATTGTCGAAGCCTACATTGACCCAATACACCAAGATCTGTACGATGTCCATAGATTTGAGGAAGTTGGACCTCTACAATGGTACTTCAAAATTAATATGCTTTGGCGCAGGACATTACGGCTGTATGTGCCGGTGCTAATTCTTGTAGTTTGAGATCGCAAAAATGCAAGCACATCGGAGTGTCTTGATCAAGGTGACTCTTCTCATCATGGCTGACCATTCCATTTAGGATCACGGATTTCTGGGTGTTGTTACCTTGAGTACACTCTGCCATCTATTCCTGTGCTGCAGTCAACATAGTCCCCAACATAATGTGTAATACAATCTGTTCTGTTTATTAACTGGTTCTGTTATTGCGTGCTGTTTTTGCTCCGTGTACAGATCCGCAAAGCTCTGGAGTTGTATGAACAGCTACGTCAGAGAATGGGTGTAGTTCTGGTCGGACCGTCTGGCTCTGGCAAGAGCATCGTGTGGCGTATCCTCCGAGCAGCACTGGCCAACTGCAACCAAGTAGTCAAACAGTACACAATGAATCCCAAAGCTATGCCTCGCACACAGGTGAGCAGCACATGAAGCCTGATCAAAACAAGTACAATGTAGCACTCTCGTCGTGCATGGCGTGTTTATGTTACACAAATCCCCAGTAAAAGTGATTTCACACTAGAGTCAGGTTGAGATGTGACATCATTTGATTCCAGGGTTTAAGCCCCGAAGTCTTGTACTCCTTCCTTCCTTGCTTCCTGACAGCTCCATGCATGTGTTCGTGTGTGCGAATTGTGTATGTATGTGAATTGTGTGTATGCATGTGTGTTTGTGTATGACTGTGTGTGCTACTAGCTCCTTGGGCATATTGACATGGACACACGTGAATGGTCGGATGGCGTGCTCACCAACAGTGCACGGCAGGTGGTCCGCGAGTCAATTGACGTGCACTCCTGGATCATATGCGACGGCGACATAGACCCGGAGTGGATTGAGTCTCTCAACTCCGTACTGGATGATAACCGTCTATTAACCATGCCCAGTGGAGAACGCATCCAATTTGGCCCGAATATCAACTTCATCTTTGAGTCTCACGATCTCAGCTGTGCCAGTCCGGCCACCATATCACGCATGGGTATGATATTTCTAAGGTAAGAGGTTGTCTCAGGTACAGAACATGGCCTAAACCCAATCCATACCTTCCCAGTACACATGTGTTCAAAATGTGATGTCACGATGGTAAAGCCTTTCGTAGTATATATTTTCCGATGGCTGTCTTTAGAATTGAGCAAGAGGATGGAGGTGAACTTTATCTAGATACCTAGTTGAATGTCATCATATTGTTGCAACACTGGAGATCGGACGTATCCACTCTGGAAAGTGAGATACCCTGAGTTCCGTATGCCTTGCTATGTCATTGGGAACAATTGGGACCAAATGAGTACTGTACAGCAGGCAAATTGCGGACGGAATTTATTTTCGTACGATTTCGTACACGGCCTCTTTTGTACTAAAATTAATTCCGTACTAAAATGTGTTCATATGAAATTATGTACACTATACATGCGTACTGCTTGCGAACACGTGTATTTAGCATGCAGCGCTGTACAAAAATACAACCCGTACGAAAGGTCGAAATTCGGCTTTGTCCGAAAATGTTTCCGTCCGAAAATTTCCTTCTATTCAGTATGTCAAGAACGCGCAGGTGTACGTAGTTAAGAGGTGTCCGCTAAGGGTAGTTTGACGGCACTCTGTTGTGGTTATGAAAGTACCTGGTGTTATTTGTGTTCCTTTTCAACATCTATACGTCGTGTTTATTGTGTATAATGTTTCTGCAGCAATGAAGACACGGATGTCAAAGCTCTGGTGTCGTCTTGGCTAAAGAGCCAGCCAACTGATGAGCGCTCCAGACTTGAAGGCTGGCTTGAGGACTATTTCCATCGTGCACTGAAGTACGTCCTGGAGAAGGAAAACTTAGTGGTACAGACCAGCTTGGTGGGTCTGGTTCTCAACGGACTGTCACAACTGAAGGGCGTCACGACCAAAGAAGGTTTTGCCTGCGCCCTGTTCCGCGGTCTTGGTGCCAATTTACCAGACTCCATACGCGCTGAATTAGCAAAGGAGGTAAGACTAATTTCGAAATTTGTCAACCAATTCTGGAGTTCAATTTGACTGTTTGTGTAGAGATTGCAATCTTAGATCTCTTCTGAATTTGTTCTTGAAGTTCCTAATCTTCCCCTAAAGGCATACTCTGTAGTGTTCAGTGAAAGAACAATCTGTCCAAATTCAACCTCATGCTGAAACACCACTTCAAACTCATACGGTTCCCAGCTTCTCGTGCTGCGGACGGTGTGGTCTTTATCTAGATGTTCATGCCCATGTCATCTGCCTGATTTCCCCCACAGGTGTTTCAAATGATGCATGTACACGCACCGGATTCCAAGCGGCTACTGGATACCTACTGGGACAAGAATGGCAATCAGCTGAAGCAGTATGAACTGGATGTGCCCGATGCCATCTCAATCAACGACCTGGCTCCGCAGAACGCTCCCACGCCGCTCATCCGTACACCGGCCGTGCAGAGAGCGCTGGGATTATTCATGCCATGGTTGGAGGCTGACAACAGGCAGCCATTCATACTGGTGGGTCCAGAAGGCTGTGGAAAGAGGTACGTCCCGCAAGACTATGTCCTGTATGCCATCATAGTTTCGAAGTTTTGTAAGTAGATCAAGCTAGTGAGGTTATGCTCTGCTGGTACCAGTGCTCTCCTGACAGGCGGATCATGCCATTGACCTAAATATGCCAGGTTCAGCAGTGGAGCTGCTGCCTTAACCCTTCACCCTTCATTACTCCAGGCCTTATTACACTTGCTGCTTTTATGGCTGGCCATGATAAGCCTAACAATTTTTTTATTGCGGTGTGCATCACTACATAATACAACGGCACAAACAGGATGTGATGGACAACAAAGGTTGCGTACCTGCTGCATTTAGCTGTGTCATCCTTGAAGTGCGATTTCAATTCCGTCATTTTGAGCGTCCAAGTCCACTTCGTTCATCACAGCCTGGCATGCTGTCATGGAACTCCACCTGGTTTTCTGTGAGTATGCATAGATGCATTCATAGTACTCGACAAAGTGGTCATATTGTAACATTTATTTTACTTTCGTCGGCTTTCCAACTTCCAGTTTGTTACTGCAGCATTGCTTCAGAGAGCTTCGCTCAACGCAAGTAGCCACCATCCACTGCTCCTCGCAAACTACACCACAGCATGTGCTACAGAAACTCTCACAGGTAAACCAGGCACAGCTGTGATATATCCACTTCCTTGGAAGTTATATTGTGCATTTGCGCTCTTTGCAGTTTCCACAATCGTTTTGAATCGTGAAGAAGGAAGACATGAATACTGTTCCTGGTAAATTTACACGGGGTGATATACACGAGGCCCGGGCCATGCTGTTACTGTCTCTGCTTTTGGCATATGGTGCTATTCTGACTTCTCATGCACTGACTGGCTAACTTGCACCTTCATACTTCTATGTTTCCCATTGTCTTCATTGTTCGCTCTGTTCTAGATGTGTATGGTGATCAGCAGCAACACAGGCAGGGTGTACCGTCCCAAGGACTGTGAATGTCTCATACTGTACCTACGCGATCTCAACCTGCCCAAACCAGACAAGTGGGGTACCAGCCAGCTTATTGCATTCTTACAGCAAGTAAGTACGGTACATAGCAGGTCTGGAGATACCTGTACAGCTGGTCAGGCCATGGCCAGACACAATATTTGTGCTTCAAAACATGCTTTTTTTTTGTTTTGTTTTTTTTGTTTTTTTTACAAAGACCACTTTAATACATGCCAAACATGAGATGCAGCTAGGGGAAGCACGCACAACCTATGTGATTGATTATGAATCTGAGTGGACAAGGCTCATTGCGCTTTGATTTTGAGACGGGAAATGCTCCTGCGCATGCATAAAGGGCAGTCTGACTGACTCTGGCGCAAACTGTCAAATTGTGATAGTCGTTGAGAACAGTAAGGAGGTAAGAAGAGTGTCCTCAAGGCAGAGGTGTCCGTACGTTACGGAAGTCTGTAAGTGGAAAATGTCCAGTAAGAGAGCCTGTCATGTATTCTTGCTAAAGCACAGCCTATGCCAGGTCTGCTCAACCTCTGTAGTGTTCTTTCCAGATTGGTCTCATGTCTCTGGCAATGTGTCCTGTTGTTTGATCATTCTTGTTCAGGTTGTGACCTACGAAGGTTTCTATGATGATCAGTTGGAGTGGGTTGGCTTGGAGGGTGTGCAGCTAGTGGCCAGTATGAACCCCGGTAGCAGTATGGGACGGCATTTGCTTACCACGCGATTCACGTCTATCGTTCGCATTGCCTGCATCAAGTGAGTCAGCATGCTCTTCCACTCACTATACACACATTATGCACACCATATACACACAATTGGGTTCAGCTTATGAATAGTTGTATATCAATGTGGCCACGCACACAGGAATGATATTCCTTTTACACGTTAGTGTCAGAGATAAACTTCTATCTAAAGTAAGCAGTCGGTGTCATGTGCATCAACCTAGAACTAAGCTTGCGTTTGCAATTGCTATGCTTTGAAAGAGCTGATTGTTTTCTTGTTCATCCAATAAGGATACACGTTTCACTCGTCTTGGACTTCAGAAGTTTCCTGTCTGCTTGTCGTTTGTATACAGCTACCCATCATCTGATCAGCTAGAAGTAGTGTATAGTTCCTACCTATCAGCGGTTATATCCCAGCAGTTACCCACACACAGTGTATGGGGAGCTGCTCGAAGTATGCTGGTCCTAGCCACATCTATGGTCGGCATGTACACGAAACTCAAGTCACGCTTCACCGTGGACACCCACGCTCACTACATCTTCACGCCGCGTGATCTGACATCATGGACACTGGCATTGCTACGCTATGATCTTTCACTAGACGATGGCAAGGAACATGTCCTGCAGGTGAGATGTGCTGTGGTAGCTCTTTGGTTTGATGAGCCAAGGGTGTGGACTGACTTTGAAAGCAATGAATTATACTAACATGTTGTCTACTTCACCTGTCACTGCTTACAGGTCTGGGCTTACGAGGCATGCCGTCATTTCCGTGATCGTCTGGTAGCTGAGCACCAGCAGGAGTTTGACACTATGCTCAACTCAGTGCTCCAGTCAGACTGGGGTGTGGACTCGAAGAAGCTGCAGCTCAGCTGTGGAGAGTTGTTCTATGTTAGCTGGGGAAGCACTGGCAATCGCACCGACCATGGAGCACAGCTTGGTCGCTTGTCAGAAAACGACCTATCAGAAGTCATCAAGAAAGGACTACTTAGCTACAGTAAGCTTGGCCTTCACCCAACGTTGCTCATAATACCATCCTGAATGACTGTCTGGCCACCCGACTTGGCCACTATGGGTTGGTTTGTGCATTTGTGCTCAGGTAACTGGCCCGATTTGTTGGCCATACCTCATTGTAGTGTATCTAGGGTCTTTAGCGGGTGATACAACCCATGTCCTCATGATATGTTTGCTTATAGCAAAGTACAGGTGACTGATCCTGTGGGTTAGGTTGATTTTAAGGCAACACTACCCTGAACATCTACCAAAGTGTTTTCTGATGCAGGGTGTCACCAAGGAACAAAGCATATCTCCTTTTAGTTGAGATTATAGAATTAGCAGCAAAGAGACTGCTTGCTTTGGTGATGTAGGACTTTCTGTGTTTTGAAGTGACTGCAGTGCAGATTGTGCATCTTGAGAATTTTTTGTCTTTTTGTCAGTTTTTGACTTTCGCCACTAATGAATATCTTGTAACTTTGACTGGTAATTACATAATCTCTGTCTGATTTCTTTGCTGCCTTGTTCCTAATCCAGGTCGTGAGAACCGCGATGTAAACATTCTCGTCTTCACGGAAGTGCTCGACTACATCTGTCGTGTCAATCGCATCCTGACGGCGCCGAGTGGCTCACTTCTGCTTGCTGGCCGTTCGGGTGTGGGTCGTCATACCGCCGTGGAGCTGGTGGCTCACATGCAACGGATCACCGTCATCAGCCCAAAGATATCACGCAGTTATCACCTGAAGCAGTTCCATGCCGACTTGAAAGCTGTACGTATATGCTAGGTGTGATATAGTAAAGTACTGGAAGTCTGTAAATTTTCGGCCCATTCTAATTTCGGCCTCCGAGGGCAAAAACTCATTTCGGCGTATCAAATTTTCGGACTGTACTATAGCTGCCGCCTGTATACACTGTCACACTGAACCTTGCAAAACAAATTCTCGGCCGTAACAAATTTTCGGCCAAACATGACCAGGCCGAAAATATAAATACACGCCGAATATTTGTTGACTTACAATAGGGTGATCCACAACTCGAAGAATGCTCCATGCCCTGATGCAGAGATTTTCCATGTAGACAATCAGTGGAGAAATGGAGAGCTCTGTTTCAACCCTGAGTATCGTGTTTGTCACGTTGTCAAGTGATTGCAGGAAATGCGAATTGAAGTCGAATTTCAGAGTTACAACAATAATCCATCTCGCCAGGAAAATATGAAACTCAACCAGGGAAAGAGAACACAAATGTGTAGATGCTACGTGGGATCACTCTGTGCTAACTCAGCTGTTAACTGGAGTTGTGCTGATTTTTACATGTTGCGAAATGCCTTGCCATTCTTTTGGATACACTCCATAACATCAGCATAATGGCATTGAAATGCATGTCATGTCACCTTACAGGCTAACAGACATAACTCTATGTTGCAACCTTACATCCTCTAGCAGCGACATCAGAATCTTAGGTGAAAAAACTATTGATGATCGAAACTGAGCGTGCACAATACGCCATACAGACATGTACTGTGATAGCAAAGTGTGAAGTAGAAATATATTATAACAACTTGCATGCACAACAAGCCCATGGATATTTGTACAAAGCCGCATGTTTGTACCAGTGGCTGGTCCTGTTTCCATCCAGCCACCGTATAATATCATAGACATATTCCCCTGCATATTCCTACAGGCCATGCAGATTGCTGGTATCGACGGAGAAGACGTGGTACTGTTGATGGACGATCATCATTTTGTGGAGCCATCGTTCATACAGCTTCTCAACAGCTTGCTGAGCGCCGGTGAAGTGCCGGGACTCTATGCGGCTGAAGAGTTGGACCATCTGCTTGGGCCACTGAGGGAGAAGGCTGCAGATGATGGATTCAGAGGTATAGCCACTTGTGCACAAAGTAGATTTTTAGATTGGCCACGTTTAGGTGACAATCCAGATTTATTGAATACACACACCTTGGCGATTGCTGGATCTTCATTGAATGTAGAGAGATGTTATTGTTGACCTGGGGTTTGAGGTGGAGAAGGTGATGGATGGGGCAAGGGGGGAGGAGGGGGGGGGGAGGGAGGAGGAGGGGGGGGGGGGGGGAGAGAGGGACAAGACACTGCGTACACACAAATAGGGCCAATCATGCGAATATCTCGTTCTGAACTTCTACTCTTTGCCATAGGTCCACTACTGTCCTACTTTGCACAACGAGTCAAGACCAAGCTTCACATTGTTCTCATACTGGACAGCTCTGCATCGGACTTTGTAGCTGTGTGTGAAGCCAACCCGGCAATGTACACGCGCTGCGCATACCAAGCAATGGAATGCTGGAGTGATGATAGCATGCTACGTGTGCCTAAGATGTTACTGGCACCAGGTAGGTCCGATGATCAGTAGCCATGCCATACACTGCTTCTAGTGTTCCTTCTCACACCTCACATCTTTCCACACTAGTGCAGGAAAGGCTGCGGACAGCCATATTGAAAGAACAATGCTTCTCGTTCATTTCTAATATTCAGCGAAGGAGAAGCGTACACCACTTCATCACAATTATCTCTGCTGGATTTCGGCACAAATGCTCTCGAGGATTTGGCACAGGCACAAGGCCGAGCAAGCGTCACTGCTGTACAAACCCACACATATCATGCATGCTGATAGTAGCTCGGGTCATGCAATGACGAACAGTTTTGGCCTTCAATCATTTGAGCATTTCACGAGGAATGGCTCCTATATATGCCTACCGTGTTTTCCGGAGTACAGTGAGCACTTTAGATGTACTATTTCAGGCCTCAATGCAGGTGTGCACTATGCTCCTATTAAAGATGAAAATGCCTGCCCTTGGAAAAGTAGTGCAATGCATTTTAAAAACTGTTTCGAAGTTTGCCACCTCTGACCGTCATAATCCGTATCTGTGCATTTCTAGTGTCTACTGCCAGCTTCACTCCTAATGCATGAACAGTACGAGTCCCCATCGATAGCAGTATACATGTACAAGCTCGTAGTACCGTCTTTATGATCGACAATGTTCTCAAATAGGCTGCGCATTTTACTTCGGATAAACCGTGAATTGCCAAAACGTTGCTCGAAAAGGGTGTGGGGGGGGGGGGGGGGGGGTGCGCATTATACTCCGGCAAATACCGCACTTAGACTAAGCGTGACATCTGTACATACATAATGAGCTTTGTTGTTTGCACTGCATGTACATGCAGGTGTTGCGGAAGTCACTGAAAAGACACTACCAGGTGGTATGGATCTTATCAATGGTTTCAAGATGATCCACGACTCCTGTACCTCCATGAAGAACAGCACCAGCTCACGACAGTATATGTCGCTTATGCACACGTATCGTGACGTGTACACAAAGAAAAGAGAGGGTATCCAGCAGAAGCAGTCACATCTGCAGGTTAGTGAAATTGACATGAGTGTGTGTTTACGCTCATCCATTTTGCTATCTATAATCTGCACTTCACCGTAACGTTCACGTCACTGTGAATGCATGTCAAGTAGCCAACTACCTTTAAGATGACTTCAATCATCAGTTTGGTATACATGAGGAACTTTGTATGCTGGTCTAGATGTTGGAGCATAGAAATTAGCCAGGCTTACTAATCTAAAAACGCTATCCATGCATGGAATGAAAAGAGCAGGCAGAGAGAGGTAGCAAAATTGTGATGAAATGTATGGATCATGCAGTCAGCATTCATGACCCACGAATGAAAGGAGCCCAGAAACCAGCACATGGTTTCACTACATCGTAGTGATGGGGTGGCCAAGCACAGATGTCCTGCAGATCTGTCCTATTGTTCTCCCTCTCCATTCCAGGCTAGTGTATCCATGCAGATCTGTCCTATTCATACCGTTCTCACTGTCTGTTACAGGCTGGTGTATCTAAGCTGAATGAGGCTGCAGAGCACGTGGCTGGACTGAAGGAGAAAGCAGGAGTGCAGAGTGCACTGCTAGCTGAGAAACAGGAGGAAGCTGATCAAGCACTCAAAGCCATCACGGCTGCAATGGAGGTCAGTCTGTGTTCCTTGAATAGCACCATATGTTATCCCTATACCCTTCATTTAATCGACATTCCGGAATGTTCTTATTTATCTATTCATGCCATATCCCATAGCATGGAGTTGCCAACCAAAGGGAAGGGGGTGAAAGCCAACCACGGCTGAGGAACGTAAAGAAATAGAAATAGAAAGAAAAGAAAAAGAAAAGGTACCTAGAAGGGGACTATTGAAGTGCTGAAAGCTGGGGTTTTGCATTGTGGGGAGAATGCCGTTGGGAAAGCCTTCACACTTTGGACAGGTACATGCTCTTACTATGCTTGTATTTATTTCCATAAGATGTCCGGAAAGAAGAATCACTCATGAACCATATTTCATTCTCCCCAATCTCCTCCCCCAAGATAGAAAGATAGAATTTTGGTATTACACTTTGAACTTACTCTTATGCAGAATGCTCCTCTATTTTCTGTTCTTGGTTTCTGACTCCACTGTGTCTGGGGATTTTGAAGTTTCTTGGCTTCCCGGCATTCACCTCAATCTACCAGGAACCACTGAAAAGAGTAATTCAACACTCGGGAATTCAAACCACCACTCTGACTGCCATCCCGATGGGTGTCAGGGGTGTACATGGATTATGCTAGTTTGACATTGGCCATCCTTGGTCCCCTTTCCATTGTTTGTGTGTGTAGAAAGCTAGTGACCAGAAGCAAGAGATGGAAGTCCTCAAAGGCCGCCAAAGTGAGGAGGCGAGTAAGCTGGAGAAACGAAAGAAGGCCATTGAAGTTGAGCTGAGTGAAGTGGAACCACTAATAAAGGTATGCAGACAGTACTACTCAAATACTCGTTACCTCATCGCCTCAGGAAACAAGACTAACAAAACAAAGCCCATAGCTGCATTATAACGTGCTTGCCGGACAAGGCAAACATAGTACACTCTAGACTAGGCACATATGACACATTTTTGTTTGAAAGAGCTACTGCAGGTTAGCAATCCGTTCTTTTGCAGTCAATGCCAGGAATGGTGAGGGAATGATTAACGCACAGCATGGAATTATATGGTGCTAGAACGAATGGATTTTATGATGAAGAGCATGCTGTTCAAAAAGCTTCTTCGGAGACAAACTTATGACTATGAGACTTTTATCAAAAACAGTGCTGTTGTAGAACCTGAAGTTTGTGCTGTGTCCAAGTGTTCTAGCATGCTGTTTCTTAAACCATACACTGTTAACTATTCTGTCATTATACTGGAAAACAGGAAGCAAAACGAGCTGTAGGCAACATCAAGCCGGAATCACTGACGGAGGTCAGGTCTCTGCGAGCGCCACCGGAGACAGTCAGAGATATCCTGGAAGGTGTACTGCGTCTGATGGGTGTCTTCGACACATCCTGGAACAGCATGAAAAGGTACTATGTGAATGAAATCACAACTGCATGGCGTTGTTGCCAGTGTGGCAATCAGGAAGCCGATTCGTTTTACTTTTGAACTGCAACTCTTTCCTGATAAATGTGATCATCCCTTATACATTGAATGATGCTTTGTGTCTCCCTTCTCTGATTTTTATATCCTACTGTAAACAACTAGAAACTTTCACTCCTGCTCACGCCAATACTAACTTTGGCTCATATGTGCTTCTGTACTGTGTGTTTGCTACAGTTTCCTCGGAAAGCGTGGTATTCGTGACGAGATCGCACAGTTTGACGCACGCAGCATATCTCCGGAAATCCGCGACAATGTCAGCGAGATACTTTCCCGCTCTGCCAAATCATTTGAAACCAAGGTGGGTGCAACATAGTCCGAACTAGTTCTACTTGAAATTCCACGCGCTGTAATGAAGTAAATTGTGATCCTTCCAATCTATAAAGTATCCAGGGGTGTCACAGGGCGTTGGAGAGTGGTACGACCGAGGGTCGGGGGGGGGGGGTCCCCCGGGAAGAAAAAGTCCAATTTTTCGTCCGGCACGCCACGTTTCAGCGCTCTACAGGCGCTCTGGGCGGACCATTCTGGACAGAAAGTGGTACAAGCATGGTCATACTGGTCGTACCGTGCGTGACACCCCTGGTATCTGAGAATCACTCTTATAGAGATGATGGCAAGATTGACAAAATGTTTTTTTTCCAATCGGCTTTCTCTCTCTCTCACCCGCACAATCTCTCTTCTCTCCCCATGGTGAGTGGTGGGCGTCTTGATTCTGAGATCATTGGTTGGGGAGCGCACTTCACCTTACCTGTGCAGCTTTTATTGCACTTACACGACCTTTTCAGTCCACTGTGTTCTTTCCTGTTGTTGTTGTTGTTGTTGTTGTTGTTGTTGTTGTTGTTGTTGTTGTTGTTGTTGTTGTTGTTGTTGTTGTTGTTGTTGTTGTTGTTGTTGTTGTTGTCGTTGTTGTTGTTGTTGTTGTTGTTGTTGTTGTTGTTGTTGTTGTTGTTCTCTTCCATTCTATGTAGGCATGTGCACTTTCATAAAAAAAAAAGGAAATAGACATGAGACCAACTACCAGGGGAAGTTAAGGCAAAAATTAAAATTTCACCAGTTGTAGTCTTCGGGGTGCTGAGTCGAATGGTCTTGGTCCGAGAAAGCTGAGACGCTCCCTTCCTACTTGAATCCCAATCGAACTCGCGCACTTCCACCGAAACTGGGTGACTGCGCCCTACGAGATGGGGATTTGTATGCAAAATGTCACTAAAAGCGCCATTTCGTTCTTATAAAAGCACGGATGACCGCGATTGGCCCATATGTTGTAGTCTTTTGGACGCTGAGTCGACTGGTTTTGGTCCGAAAAGGCTGCGATGCAGCGTTCGCCCCTAATTCCCAATCGAACATGGTTGAACAAGCGGTCACGTGCTCCTGCGTACACCAGTCACCTGGTCACCGTGCCTGCAGGGTACAACTTACAGCCTGTTTTGACCTTTTTTGGGTGCAGTCCTGTCACTCGAGTTGAACCTTGGTGTGAAAGTTGTCGCCTGCTGGCGTGGTGACCAGGTGATTTTGGCACCCAGGAGCACGTGACCGCTTCTTCAACCATGTTCGATTGGGAATAAAGGAGGAACGCTGCATTGCAGCCTTTTCGGACCAAAACCAGTCGACTCAGCGTCCAAAAGACTACAACATATGGGCCAATCGCGGTCATCCGTGCTTTTATAAGAACGAAATGGCGCTTTTAGTGACATTTTGCATACAAATCCCCATCTCGTAGGGCGCAGTCACCCAGTTTCGGTGGAAGTGCGCGAGTTCGATTGGGATTCAAGTAGGAAGGGAGCGTCTCAGCTTTCTCGGACCAAGACCATTCGACTCAGCACCCCGAAGACTACAACTGGTGAAATTTCAATTTTTGCCTTAACTTCCCCTTTAACTAATGAATACGTGAAACCAGTGTTCAGGGTTTGCAGAGTGGTGGGATGGAGCTTGCCAGCTCAAACACGTGCTCTTAGAGAGCCTGATGTTCTATCACAATATGCAGGCAATTCAACCAGGTTCTATGCTTTCTGTGTTTGTGTTACTGTATTGTTTTCAGACTGCAATGCGTGCAAGTCAAGCTGCTGGTCCTCTAGCTGCCTGGGTCAAGGCCAATGTCCAGTACTCGATTGTGTTGGAGAAGATCGAACCGCTGGAAACAGAGCAAGCACACTTGCAGAAGTAAAACATTGTCCATATACGGGGAGATTTGTTTAAGCACACCGCATGCATGCCCTGTTGAATCCTGACCTGATCATATGCCATCCATTCTGACCAATCAGTCCTCATTTATCTCGAAGGAAGAAGAGTGCCGCTTAAACCATGAGGCTACAGGATCTGCCATCTGCTCCTGTAAGCGAATAATGGCTTGTTTTGTAAGGGGTTGAAAGCTGAAACGAATGATTTTGGTCGAAACTGCCCTTAAACTTCAGATGTTATACTTCCTGATGTGTTTCTGTGGCCTGTTCAACCGCAGGCAAACTTAGTCAAAATTTCGCCTATACCAATGACAATGACGGGTTTAATGAATTGAAATTCGCTTCACTCTTGGTGTTTTGTAGAAACTTGGACAAGTCACAGCGTCGTCTCGAGAAAGTCAGTGCAGCTTTGGATCAAGTCGATCAGACTGTTGCTGGCTTGAAACACAAGTAAGTGCGGACGTTGTACCTCTTGTGGCATTCGTACTGACATGTCTAATGCCCAGGTGTTGTGCTCACACACAAAAGAATTGAGCATAGCACAAGTCCCAGGCATAGCAGATGTGCGCAGCAGATGTGTGATCAGGGATTTCAGGGATTGTAGGGTGAGGATAAGGATTGCGGTCAGGGTTATCAGCCAACATATCGAACTGCCTGGTATTAAAGCCTGTCTCATTTAGAAGCCTGTTTTGAATAGAAGCCTGATTACAAGATACATTGTCGGCACATAAGCCTGGTTTTAGTGTTGACATACATAGAAATACCTGTCTTGTATAGAAGCATGTCTCATATAGAAGCCTGCAAAATTCCCCCAAAAAGTCATATAAGCCGCGGGTTTTATACATGACTTGCCGGTATTTTCAAAGTGGCGTATCGCATGAAGAATACAACTTGTTGAAGGCTCTACTTTTGCAGCTTTGTCAAACTCATCACTAATCGCTTTTTAGATAATGGAATCACAATGGCTAAGTTTGATCGTTTTTATAGGAAAGAAAAAGGACCAAGGAGCTACAAGTTCCGCTATATGGTCCTTTTTTCTATAAATTGATCCTTGGCTCTCCATCCGAGTTTGATCCTTTTTCTTGTTTGTTTTTTTAGATTTGAGAAGAGGACAACTGAAGCCACTCGACTGAAGATTGAAGTTGATGCTGCGAAGGAAACCATTGATAGAGCGGAGATGTTGCTAGGAAAGCTAGAAGGAGAGCATGGACGTTGGTCAGAGCAGGTAGGGGTCACGGGTGTTTGTAAGATCAGGAGCAGGGGAGTAGCTGGCTGGTTCCCTTCTTAGGAAGGGGGGGGGGGTGCACGGCAGCTGTATCATACGTGTAGCCTAGGATGGCTGTTGCATGTCATCATGGTCATTATGTGCATGCTGAACCCAGGTGGAAAATTGGGGGGGGGGGGGTGCACGTGCCTCTTGCAGTCTACACGCCTGGTGAGCAACCACTAATGCCCAATTTGCCATGTGTGCTACCAAGCTTTGGTTACAGAAGAAAGGAAAGTATACTCGTATCTTGTACTGCGGGTACTGCCCATGACTATGAAATGTCCCTAACTCCAAATCACATACATGCAGTGATGGGGAAAGGCCATAGCTATGGCATATCACCACGTCACTATTTTCATAAAAAGTGACAATGAGTAGTAACATCCATTGAAACTCTCCCAAAGGGTGCCCGGTAGACCGAAGTGCCTCTTAAGTTCGGGGTCCGGATAACCGAGGTATGAGCGTACTGAAATGTGTAGGTTGGAAACCAATCCTTCCCATGTGGTCCTCAGACAGCTAAAATGTATTAAAGTGATCCATAGCTTTAACTTTTCACACCAATTCATGAATTTCCCGGTCTGCTTTTGAAACCCAACAAAGAGCTGATACTTTCTTCTCATACACGTGTTGCTGATGTACAGCCATACTCTCAAGAATGTGAAATGAAATGTCGCTGTAAGTAACATGCAGCGTGTCATGTGTTCTATTAACTTTTCATCAGGTCAACCACCTCTCCTCCGAGCTGTCCATGCTGCCCAAGTACACTCTACTGGCTTCCAGCTTCATCGTGTATCTGAGTGGAGCACCGGAGGATGTACGGCAGAGAAAGCTTCAGGAATGGTGTGACAAGCTGAACGTGTCGGGTGGTTTCGACTTCTGTCGTTTCCTGAGCACGGAGAGCGAGCAGCTCAAGTGGAAAGCGGAGGGTCTGCCATCGGACGGCTTGAGCATTGAGAATGCTCTGGTGATACTGCAGGTAGGAATCTTCTCTCTTTGTTAGCACTACAGCCAATAGGCACAGAACGGCAGCTAGCCACATAGTGTAGCATGGCTACGTCATCACACGTAATGAGTATACACATAAATAGTACACTGTACGAATTAATTGTAAGCTGTGCACATACTCGTGCTATAGTGTACACGGATAACCACTTATCTCTCCTATGCTATGTCAACCAGAGTCCCGGGGTATGATTTTGCCTGCGCCTACCTTACTTCAGCTAGATTCAGATTACTCCAAACTGCAATGCCCTTGAAACGAAACTTTCGCTTGGCAGGGGGCTCGACGATATCAGGGTGTTTGTACTGACATACAAGCGTCAACTATCAGATTCCACTCAGCTATTTACACAAGTTGAACTAATCCTTGTGACACTCTTCTTCAGGGTCGGCAAGTTCCGTTCTTGGTGGATCCATCGCAGCAAGCGACGGAATGGCTGAAAACGAACTTGAAGGAGATGAGACTGGAAGTCGTCAATCAACAGGTATGCTGATACTGCTAACTACCTACTATCCATGTGTAGATGTTGGACAGAAAAAAGTGTTTTAACTCTGAGTTTCACACACTAAGCGATCATCAGATGTTCTATATGTATAAAGATGTACAAGGAATTATATATGGCCTTGGTCATCTGCTGTGGTCTGGACCAAAAACCTTTCACCATCACTTCCTTTCGATGACTATAGACATATTCGGCGCGCGCGCGCGCGTGTGTGTGTGTGTGTGTATGTGTGCATGAGCAAACTTGTGCAAGTGCAGCTCTGTCAGTTGAAAGGGTTGTGTGTTTGTAGTGCCATGCATGCCTGTGCGTACAATTGTAATTTTTGTACCTGTTCACCCCGAGGAAATTACAACATACTTGACCACTACTTACAACCCAAGCGGAATTGTCCTTGCCATTGTGGTGATGTGCGATGGCAGGAGCGGCCAAGGGGACCAATGGGATCACGTTGTGTGTGCTTTACTCCATTGTGTTCTGTTTCCAGGATTCCAACTTCACAACCTCCTTAGAACTGGCTGTGAGATTTGGCAAGACACTCATCATTCAAGAGGTGGACTCCGTTGAACCCATGTTGTATCCACTACTGAGAAAGGAGTTCTCCACGCAAGGTTAGTCTAGACCCAGTGTGGTGTGAGGATCGGATATCTCTGTGTAGTCTGTATGTTCAGTTGTTTCCTTGGACAAATATGATCCCACGAAAGAGTTGTTAGGTGACGATTCCACCAGTCTTTAGTTGTTCACTGCGATTCTAGGCATTCTGCTCCTACATACACAAGAGATGAGAGTCTGTTTTTCCTGTTGTTGAATGTAATTGCTTGTTCCAGGCCCTCGCTCTGTCATTCTCATTGGTGAGAAATCAGTGGACTACAACGAGGATTTCCGGTAAGACAATCCCCCAGTCTACAGGACACTTATCATAATTTACATGGCCAGTTAGGCAAAGTAGTGTGCAGCTATCCACCATATTTGGGAATATGCGCATTACATGTATCAACACATATGATCAATCACTTCCACCTGGCGCAATGCCAAGTGACTTTTTACTGGTACTTGCACTTGCAAGAAGTAGAGGAAAATTCGTTGCAACTCTGAGTTTCAGGCATGAGGCGATCATCAGACAACATAATTAGATAAATCTGGGTGCTGGTACGTTCGGGCCTGGTTTAAGTCTGGCTTTGGAAATTTTATTTTCATTTCTATCAGGTTCGACCTCATTTTCTCTGTGCTGCGCTGAGGAGTCCACAGAGGACGAAACAGTTATGTCCGCAGATTGAGTGGATGCTGGTTTATATACCCAGAAGTAAAGGTGTGAACTGCCTGGACATCCTGGACAGCCTGGAACATTTCTGTTGTATTTGCACATGTGCTGGAAATAAATACAGCACATTCTACGAGATAGATGCAAAAGAACTGATTTTGGCCGCAGTTCTGTTATTGATTTACTTCAGTTTTTATGAAGCCTATTGGACATTTCTAGTCCCTATTTTTTTTACTTGTCCTGTATTTGTGTGTTGTGTGCAGTCTGTTTCTGACCACCCGCAACCCTTCACCAGTAATTTCAGCTGACTCTGGTTCAATAGTGACAGAAGTCAACTTCACTACCACACGTGCTGGCCTTACAGGACAGGTCTGTGGCAGTATATGCTTGTGATGTGTCAATCTGTATCGATGACAGATATAATTATAGTCTGTTTGAAATGATGGGATCCCTTGTTGCTGGCCTATCTCTATGTGCCCTCTATTGTATATCTATCACCCCCCCCCCCCCCCTCTCTCTCTCTCTCACTCTCTCCTTCGGCTTCGGTGTCATGTGAGATGATCGTTTGATGTCGACTCCAGCAATGGGAGCACTGCTTTTACTGATCAAAATAGGATAACTCCGTGCTTCTGTATATTTTCAGCTCTTGGCTCTGACACTGCAAAGTGAAAAGCCGGAATTGGAGGAGAAAAAGAGCAGCCTCCTTCAGGCTGAGGAAGAGAAGAAGGTTCAGCTAGCAGACCTGGAAGAATCTCTCTTGCAGGTGAGTTCCCTTCCTTCGAATTCTGCAACTGCTGCGTCCACCGCTGTGTTATGTTATATTATCTTTATGTTACTTCACCATAGGTACATAGGTACATAGGTACAGAGGTACAGAGGTACATAGGTACATAGGTACATAGGTACAGGCATTGCTGCCTTCTTGCTGTGGATCCTAAATGATGCCTCAGCTCCTAGTCTATGATGAATGCATCTAAGATGTTTTCTAAACTAGCGAGGAACCAATCCTTAGTAACAACTTAGTGATGGATGCAGATGTTGTAAGCTTGCGTATGCCCTGGTCAATTCAGAGCTTCTTTAGTGGTGTTCAGCTGGTGTTACCCAATGCTTTATGACCTCTATAGGAACTTGCGACTGCCGAGGGCAACATCCTGGAGAATCATGCATTGCTTGACTCCCTCAACAAGACCAAGGCGAATAGCACGGTTATCCAAGAGGCTCTCAAGGAGTCCAGCCGTATACAGGTCTCACTGGATCAGGTAAGTGATGGACCATGAGTCAGTTTTGAATGTTTTGAAAACGAATTGTACGGGTTCACGTATAGAGCGAGTCAAGCAACACCTTTCCGCTTCCGTGGGACGCCACCACCCCATTATCAGGCGTAAGATACGTCTCCTAAACGGTGGGGGTGGATAGATCAGATCCACCAACCAGGGGTCAAAGGCCTAAATCCCATTTGCCACATCCATGTATGAATGTTTGAATGTTTGATGCCGGGGAAAACAAATACTTGTTGTGCTTGGTGATAAGTCACAGTCATGGTTGTACCAGGTACACTCGGCATCTGTATCTCATCAAGGAGTGTTCACAGCTATTCCATTGCTACTTGTATATCAACCATTTTATTGTGGCACCCGCGCTGTGCTTTGTAGTACGTGTTGAAATCTCTTCTTTCAGTCATGTGCTCACATGTGAAGACGTTGTGTATGTAGTCGCAAATCGATTATGATAGCTCTCCGGACGATCTTCAACCAGCTTTTGTGTGCTCTTGCTGTTGCCCACAGGAAAGAGATGCATTCCTGCCGCTTGCCAAGATGGCTAGCACCCTGTTCTTTGTGATCAGTGACTTGTACAAGCTGAACAACATGTACCGATTCAGCCTGGCCTCTTTTCTCCGGCTCTTTGAGCGTACTCTTAGCACGAAATCGGTAAGTAATCGATTCTCACTATGCTGAAGTGAGTATGTTCTCTAGTAAAAAATAGACTATGAATGAAGGGTATAATGACACCATCAACACACTGAGTGACAGGGGTGCCGGACGGTCACTACGGTGTTGACCGTACCACTTTTTGTCCCAGGTACCACGTGAATCAATGAAATACACTGATCTGAAATTTCCAAAATTGTCAGCTCAGGCACCCCTCCCCACGAGTATATTGTACTTCAGATGGCTGACCATACCATACTAAAATACCTTCCGACGCCCCTGAGTGACGATACCTTGCAACTGTATGTCAACATGCCGGGTTTTCATACACTATATTGATTATGTTTGCAAAGTAAAAACATTGCCAGGTAGCATCCATGTGGTGATCTTGCCTGCAGCGTGCAAACCCTTTAAACCCACTGTATTTGGGCCGCAATGTTTGACCTCTACTGTTTGTGTGTATGTTGGTGTGTGGGTTGATATGTGTGTGTGTGTGTGTGTGTGTGTGTGTGTGTCTTTTGTGTGCGTAAAAGGATGGATCAGTGACTGAGGTCCGTATCAAGACACTGTCCAATACACTTCAGATGCTAGTGTATGAATATGTCTGCAGATCACTGTTCAAGGTAAGGGATCGCGTGTCGTTCACCAAACTGCCCTTCTATAGCCTGTCACTCAATATGTTGCTCTGCAAAGTGTGATTCCATGGCTAGTCACTTTGTCACTGACTGGTTGAAATTTTGCAGATTGTTGATCATGTGTCGCTTTGCCAAATTGCCCCTCTATAGCCTGTCACTCGATGTGTTGCTCTGCAATGTGTCCTGGCTAGTCACTGTGTCACTCACTGGCATGTTGCGATTCTGACTCACCCTTTTCTCTGTTTATCACGTGCTCTTCCAGGCTGACCGACTCATGTTTGCCCTCCACTTGGCACACGGTATGCACCCAGATCTTTTCCAGCCTAACGTAAGTATGCTGTGAATAATGGAAATGGCTATGTGAGGGATAGCCTGGCAGGGGGCAACGGTGGGGTAATGGATATTCCTTGTGCATGCATGCTGCATTGTTTCAGAGAGCAATGGTGTTCGTGGATGCTGCCTACAAGTATATTGCCTACCTTCTCCCGGTCCGCAATGACTCCTTGGTTCACAGGCACTAGAGATTTGTATGCAA